CGCCGCCTCCCGCGGGGGGCCTGGGACCTTCTTCCCCCAACAGAGGTCCCAAAGCGAAAAACAGACCTATTTGGAAGTAAGGAGGGTAAAGTAAAACCGAGCCGAAGCCCGCCTCGGCGTCCCGGGCCTAGATCTCAGGGCCAGCCCCGGTTGGTTCCCTTGGCGGGGAGGGAGGGGGCAGAGGCGGAGCCCGCACAGGCGTGGTGACAGACCTTGGCCTTGGTGGCCTTCGAAGGCGAGAGGCAGGGCAGGTACCACACCAAGAGCACGAGGGCAGGGAGAGCGAGACGAGACCTCGGTGCACAGACATGCTCACAGATACGCCAAGAGGGAGGGACTGATGCATGCAGAGAGAATGAGTTAATGAGTGAACTGATTTATTCCTTCTTACGGGCTGCACCGCCTGCTCGGTGCACCTTCTGGTACAAATGTACAAAACACCGGGCGTTGTGTGCTAGCCACCTCCGGTTATCTTTCTTTGTATCGGTGTCAACCTCCAAGTTTGTTGCAAAGAAAATTCATTTTTGCTTGCTTTCTTTAAAAAGGCTGTATTGACTCAAATGCACCTTTAGCTTTGATGAATGTTGAGGCATGTTGCTATCTCTCCTTGGTGTCTCCAGGCCTTGGGGGTATTTATTTATTTTAAGAATTTATTTATTTATTTATTATGTATACAACATTCTGCTTCCATGTATATCTGCACACCAGAAGAGGGCACCAGATCTCATAACGGATGGTTGTGAGCCACCATGTGGTTGCTGGGAATTGAACTCAGGACCTCTGGAAGGGCAGTCAGTGCTCCTAACCTCTGAACCATCTCTCCAGCCCGCCTTGGGGTATTTAAAAGTATGTTCCAACCCTAACCACCAAGAAGCAGGCGACACACAGGTTTTCAATGTGACAGAAACAATTGATTAAGCTTAATAACAAGATAGGTCTCAGGTGTGCAGCCACACTTTTATTATCAAGAGAGTGGGTCCAGTTGATGGTTACAGACTCATTTCCATTTTCCAGCCACACAGTGCCTGCTGTGTACCATGCTCCGTGTGCTGATTGTTGAAGGCTCAGAAATAAACAGTCCAGAATGTCTCATAGGCTTAGCACATGGAATTTTGATGAACTGGGGGCATAGAGGAGGGATATCTAAAACCTCTTGGGGTGATGATGTTAGAGACTGCATCCTAGGTACATTGAATATCTGAATTAATTTTAAAAGCTACTTTGAAGCTACCAGGGGAAGAGCAAGGTTGCAAAGCTTAAAAGAAAAAGACTTTTTGGTCATAGAACCACTGGATAGCTTTTCCTTTGGCATACTGAGAAAAGTGGAAAGAAGGTCCCAGAAACAGGAGGGGAATGGACCATGGCAAGCCCTGCAGTTTGCTGCCTACCTGGGTTCCAGCAATTAAACCAGCTGAGGGGAAGAACACCCCAATACTGTAGCCTAGCAATTCTGGCATTCTTCAAGAGTCAGACTTTTTTTTTTTTTTTCTGGCTCTGATTTCTCAACTCCAAATCTTAAAAAAAATCCTATTGGGTAAAATCTCTGAGACATATCAATCCTGGGTAATCTTGAAAGTTCATTAAAAGGGGAAATAGAAGGCAATTAGTAGTACCAGTTTAAACTGGGATGAGTAGAAGCTTACATCGAAGTCTTTTAAGTGGTGTAGTCTGTGCTACAAAGAATGTTTTTATTTTACATGTTCATAAAAATGTGAGTTTTTTCCCTAATTCATGGGTGAAAGTTTTGGAAATTGGAACAATTATCAGGGAAAAATTTATTAGAAATAACAAATATAGTTGAGAAAAAACAATAAGTGACTGTTTACCAGATGTACCTCATAGCAATAACAATATAGTAGCATTCCTTAACATGGGAAGACAAACCAGGTCAAGACACCAAGGAAGAATCATGCAGAGTTCAAGAGAGAAGGGGCTGTGTGTGTGGACATACATGTTTATGCATGTACATGTAACACATTCGTGTGTGTGTGTGTGTGTGTGTGTGTGTGTGTGTGTGTGTGTGTGTGTATTTAAAGTGGGGGTAGGATTGGAACTGTAGCTGCACAAGATAACCTTGTGAAACTATATTGTTAGGGTGAGCCATTCTGCTTCAGTCTACTCCACCCCACCTATAACCAGAAGACCTAAAGCCAGTTTTAGTGTCTTTATTGAGAGCCAAGAAAGAAGACAGTGTGTAGGAACTCTAGGTTCTAACCCAGGCTCTGCTATCAAATAGTTGCCATCTTTGGACAATTCACATGCCTTCCCTGTACCTCCAGTTTTCTTACCTATGAAAATAAGATATGTAGGGAGCTGGAGAGATGGCTCAGTGCTTAAGAGCACTTTTTGCTCTTCCAGTGGGCCCAGGTTCAATTCCCAGCACCCATATGACAGTTCTCAATGGCCTGTAACTCCAGTTTCAGGAGCTCTGACATCCACTTCTTGTTTCCTCGGCTATCAGGCACGCACATGGTGCCTGACATACACGGAAAAGCACAAATATACATAACAAAATAAGTTTATATAAAAAATAAGACATCTAGTGGGCAGCAAGATGGCTCTGAGAGCAGGTAGAGCTGCTAACCTTAAGGCCTGACTTTGGCCCAGATCTCGCAAGATGGCAAGGGAGAGCCATCTGCTCAGGAGTTGCTTCTGACTTCCACAAAGTCTTCCTGGCCCCTGTGTGCCTGAACACACACACACACACACACACACACACACACACACACACACACACACGAATGAACAGAACCCAGTAAAATTTTGGCTAGTGAAATGGCTCTGTAGGTAGAGGCACTTGTATTCCACCCCTAGAAGCTACATGCTGTGAGGAGAACTGATTCCTGCAAGTTTTTCTCTGACCTCCACATGTGCCTTGGCATGTGAAGCCATCCCCCATCCCAAGTAATAAATGTGATCACAATTTCTAAGAAGTATATTACCTCACAGGGTTGTAAAGATCAGATCAAACAAGGTAGTTTCATAGTATACTTGGTAAAGCCGATGGAAGATGATGGTAAGACCATGGTTTCACAGACAGATATTCCTTAAAGAATTTATAGTTTCTCTGAATGGAGGATTTGGCATGGATCCCAGTTAAAGACTACTATAATGGAGGGTCCACAGTTGATAGGAGGAAAACCAAACCCCCTCTTGTGGGCTCTGAAATTCTAAGTCTGGATGTTTTATCATTGAGCCAGTGATATAGCCTTGCTGTAGTCCCCACAGGCACCTCCCAAAATGTGGTCTTAGAGGGAGTAGTGGATGCATTAATTTTATATTTTATAAATCTTATCAGTGCAGAAACTGTAGCCAGACCTACTGAATCAGAAATTATTGTTTAGGATTCTTAGTTAGGTGTTTGCTATAAACAGAAGTTCATTGGGCAGAAGGCTGCCCGAAACCCCTTTTCATATCTAATTATGCATAACAATTATGTATAGGCTAGAGATTGTGCCTTAGAGACTCGAGCCTTAAGGATCTGTGTCTTTAAGTAAAAGCAAGTGTAGATGGTTCTAGGATTCCAGGAGCATACTTTGAGAAACATTGCACTAAGCCACCAGGATGCTGCTCTCCATGGTCTAGTTAGGAATCTTAGTGGCGTCTCAGACTTCCCAGGGTGGCTATTACAACCCTGAATGATGTTCTCAAACCCAGATCTAGACATTTCCTAGAAAAGCCTCTTGCCCATGCTTTGCTCCTCTGCAAGCAAGCAAGCAAGCAAGCAAGCAAGCAAGCAAGCAAGCAGACACTAAGCAGGGACCTGCAGGGTGCTGTTGGTGTGTTTTTCTGTTTTCACTTCTTAGGGTCATTTATGCAGCTGCTTTAGGATTGTTTTTAAATCACAGTCACCTCAAGGTGAATATTCTATTCATGTAGGATGTAAGTTTGTGTACATACCTAACACATATTTTTATTTGCACTTTAGTATGTGTGCACATGGGTTGGAGAGATGGCTCAGTGGTTAAGAGTATTGGCTGCTCTTCCAGGAGACCCAGGTTCAATCCCTAGCACCCATGTGTCAGCTCATAATTGTCTGTAACTCAGGTTCCAGTTGATCCAACTCCCTCACACCTACATGCAGGCCAAACACCAAATGCACATTTAAAAAAATAATATGTGTGCACATGGTAACATCTTTAACAATAAATAAGTGTATAAAAGAATATCTTTATTTTTAATTGTACTCTAAACATGAACTAAGTTAATATAAGTAGGATGAAAGCAAAGTTTAGACACACCAGTTAGATAATTCTCAACAGGTCTGACCTCTTAAAAAAACTCTTCACTAAAGTACAAAATTGGGAACAGGACTTAATGGTTACATTGTTGATAGATAGCATCCTGTTGATCTCTGTTTCTCTCAAAAGTAAAACAGACAACCACAGTAACAAAACCCCCTTAATAATAAGTTTTCTTATTTTATAGAAAGAGGAATGTACCCAGAGATATTCAGCAAGACAGTTGATGCCATCACAAAGTTTATTTTCTATGTTATGGTGGCTATAGAGATGGTTCAGTGGTTAAGCTGCACTTTCAGGGGACCCAGTTTCAATTCCAAGCAACCATATGGTGTCTCACAACTCTTTGTAACTCTAGTTCTGATTGTTTCAGTGCCCTCCTCTGGCCTCCATGGGCACCAGGCATACACATGGTACACAGACATACAAACAGGTAAAACACCTATACACATAAAAATTATATATGTTCATTGTTGTTGTGTGTGCCATGGCAAGCATATCAAGGTCAGAAAGTGTCCTGGTTAGGTTTTTGTCACCTGTGAAGAGAAGGCTCAGTTGGGAAAATGCCTGTATCCGATGACTAAAGAGAAGGCTCAGCTGGGAAAATGCCTGTATCCGATGACTGTAGCCAGGTCTATAAGGGCATTTTCCTGATTCATAATAGAGTAACAGTGATAGAGGAGGGCCCAGTCCTCTGCAGCGGTGGCAGTGGAGGGGGCGGTAGGTCCCTGGGTGCTGCCCCCAGGCAGGTGTTGTGAATCAGTCTGAGCAAACCATGGAGAGTAAGCCAGTAGGTAATGTTTGTCCATGGCTTGTTTATGCTTCAGTTCTTAGCTCTAGACTACTGCCCTCTTGAGTTCCTGCCCTGACTTCCCTTCATGACTGTTACCTGGAAGCCAGAGAGGAAATAAGCCCTTTTTTTCAGAAGCTGCTTTTGGGTCATGACCTTTATTTATCACAGCAATAGAAAGCAAACAAGGACAAAGAGCAATTTGCAGGGGTCCACTTTCTCCTTCTACCTTTATGTGGGCTCCAGGGATTGAACTCAGGTCCTTCAGCTTGTGTAGTAAGCGCCTGTGCATGTGGAGTTATCTCATCAGCCATACACTCTATACTTTGTATTGCTAGCTAACTTCCTTTATTTATTTATCTTTACTGTTGTATTCTGTTGTGGACTGATTGCCTTCATTTGTAGAAAGACTTAGACTCAAACAATGTTCCTTTTCCACCTGCTCATTTCATCACCCTAGGCATGCTTTGCTGGGACTGGAAAGCCACAGGGAGTCAGGGGGGTAGGAGAGGCAGGTGGCAAAGCTAACGAACTATCCCACAGCCAGGGTAGATATGTTTTGGAAAAGAGTAAAACACATGCCTCTTTTGTGTTTTCAGGAGATGCACTTAGAGGATGCCACCCGATTCTGTCCAAAGGAAGAAAGAGAGAGTGAACAGACTTCTTTCAGCGATCAAAATCCCAGGCAAGACCAGAAAGGGGGCTTTCGCAGCTCCTTCCGCAAGCTCTTTAAAAAGAAGTGAGTAGCCCTTAGATAAAACAGTGTTGTAACTCATTTCCCTTTGGCAGAAGTCGGAGGTTTTAACAGTATTAATTACTAAGTAGCCTGGTCTCACACAACTGTTTCAAGTTTAGTGTTTGTACCTAATTTCTGAGCAGAAGCAAACTCAGCTCCCCCTGCCACTTCTTAAAAATCTTTTCTCTTCATTCCCTGAATTGTGTCCTGAGAGAAGTAGCAGAGAGGGTACCCTGGCAAATGGGCTGAGAGGGGTCCTCTATGGGAGCTGAGTATTCAGTCAGACCTCCAATGTGTGGAAAATGATGAGGGCATGTCAGCATTTTTGCCCTCATGAGCCTCATCATCCTGGTTCTAAAAAAATGTGTGTTGGTACTTGCCAGGGGTTTCCCTGAATGGATGGATTTGGCTCAGGTCCTAGTAAAAACTTTCAGTGTCCATATTAGACAGGAAACAAAAGAAGTTTCCCTCCTTGGTCTTTCTAAGTCTTATTGTTGCATGAAACATTACCTCCCAGGCATTTTGGCCAGCGCTGTGTTGCCATTTGGGAGGTAGGGCCAGGCTCCAGCATAAATGTAAGGAAGAGAGAGATAACCCTTAACGTTTGACCAGCACATGATTTAGCAGCCCTGCCCTCGTCTGCCTGGGTGGCTGCTGTTTCTTCCTCCAAAGGTCCTCAGGCCTGCCTTCCTCTCCCTTAGGGAGGTCACCTTGCTATTTACTTCCTCTTATTAGAGGTCATTGGAAGTTGTTTTTCAACCTCAAGTCTATGTTTTAATTATTAGAAAAATGAAATGAAGGTGTTATGTTGCCTTTGGAGACTTACTGGAAAACCACTTTCTCCTTGAAGGTGGAGTCTTGGTGATGGAGGAAGTAGAGAAAGCCTTCAATTGGCTTTCTTTTTTTTAATGATTTGTCTAATTCTCCTCTACTGGGAGGGTGGTGCTGAGATCAGTGGATATCTGATTGTTGGTCCTTGCCTGTTGTTACTAGAAGGAGGAGGAAGAGGAAAGAAGAACAGCGGTTCTACAGTTAACCACAGCCCTACAGTCTGTCTCCTTCCCTGCAGTTAACCACAGCCCTACAGCCTACTTGAGTTTTGCTAGGGAACCCAATGCATGCATGACTGTTGCTGGACCTCAAGTCACTTTACATAGGGATTGAGACTTAAGAGCTGTTTATCCCTCTCTAAAGTTATAGATTTAGATTTTTCTGGGTCTATAACTGCTAATGGCATGGAGTGGGAAGAAGTTGACAATTTGGCAGTCTAAACTTGGGATTTAGGCTCTAAATCCTTTGATGAACGCCAGATGCCTAAGGACACACATTGCTTGAGTCTGTTGGATATTTTTAAGTCATCATAAGATTCCCCAAAGAAGCAATTATTTGTTGTTCACCACCATTTATAATAGCTGAGCAGTATCTGTTGGAAAACAATCAGCAATAGATTCACCACCTGTTCCTTTACAAATTCTTGTTTATCAAAGAGATGTAACAAAATGGCCTATTAGTTATATGAGGCGTAGGGACAGATCTGCCCTTTTGTATCCAGAGGCAGAACTAGCAGAAGTGAGGAGGAAGAGGAACACTCTAAAAATGCACCTGCTTGGACCTGGTGGACTCACGAGAGTGTGGGTTCTCTGAAATAGAAGCTAGATGGTTCTGTCTGGGGTCTCTGAAAAGTATTTCTATGATGGGTGGGAGGTTGCCCCAGAAATCATCAGTCCTTTACAGTATGTATATTTGCTTTGTCTGTACTCTGACTTTACTGTTGCTCGGTCTGAATAGTCACTTGTCTTTATCACAAACTAGATGAATGTGCTGTTGGGCCTGTAATTTTAAAGGCCTCTAAAAGAGAAAGCCATACAGTCTTTCTATTGCTCCCTGCCCCCACAGACTTTGGTATAATGCAGACACCCTGCTGTGTGCTCTCCAGATTCACACCGGTTAATTGTCTTCAGTCCTCCTGCAACTTTGGGTATTTTTCTTAGGGAGAAGGACAGTGGATTCTCTTAGTTCTCTCATAGACCAGTCTGCATCAGTCATATTACTGTCAACAATAACGGCACTGTCCTTTGTATTTAAAATGTGAAGTATTATCTGCATGGAGGTAAAGGTGGAGCCACTTAGATGATTCTTTCTCTGGCCTGCTTTCCTGGCTTGGAAGGTCTAGTCTAGGACAGTCATCACCATGCAGGTGGTTCCCACTACAGCTTTGTACTTAGGGAGCTCTTCCGGGACTTGGCAAGGGTTAAAGAAGCAACTTAAATAGCTTCTTCTGTGTTTGTCATCTAAATACCATGGAAATTCTGTTAAGGACCACACTCCTCTATGGTATTACATAGACAAAGGGCAGGGAGGCCCCAGGGTAGCATGAAAGGGCCTGTATCTTTAACTCAAATGTAAATACACCATTCTTGTATGTGCATAATTCCAGGCATACATAAAGGATCATGAATGATATGGTCCCAGCCATTCCACAGAACCTTGCATTCTGAACTCAGGAATGTATAGGATGAAAGATAAACTATCCCTTCTAGAAAAATCTATGTGAAGATTGTTAAAGACTTAAACCTTGATTATTGTAAAAAAAAGATAGAAAAAAGTCAAGCCATTTTGTGTGTCAGGAAGTTAGTTGGCAGAAAGCCCAGTGACCTGAAGTAGCTAAACCTGGGTTACTAGACACTCTAGAGCTGGCCTCCCAGGTCCAGATGAGCAGGCCTAGGAAAGCCATCCATGTCCTGTTTGGGGCTCAGGTCCAGATGAGCAGGCCTAGGAAAGCCATCCATGTCCTGTCTGGGGCTCACTGCCATCCTCCCCTGTATCCCTCTGGAGGTTCAGTCCTGTCTACACTGACACACTTTTTGTTCCATAGGGGCTTGTTTGGCTGGTGGCCCCACACTCCCAGAATGCTGCTTCGGGATGAAGCTAGGCATGGAACCAGATGCAACAGAAAACCCGAGAAAGGGTTCTCTTCCCTCTGAGGCTGGGAGGGCCGAATGCTCATGCCCACAAGGATTCAAAAGGCAGAGTCAAGCTGACATCATAAAAAATATTCTGAAAAAGTGCCCACGATATTTGAGGAAAAGGGTAACCCTTTTATTGTTTCCATCTCAGGCACATTTGCCCTGGGTTGATACCAGGTCATAGATCCCTGAAAGCTGTGCAGAATTGGTCAGAATGAAGTCTACTAACTTAAAGTCTGAGCATGTGAAATGACTTTACACATTTTAAATATGATTCTTAGAAGCTAGGGAACAGACCTGAAAGGCCAATGCTTGCCTGAGTAAGAAAAGGCAAACTATCCCTTCTAGGAGAATACACATGGACACTGTCAAAGATTTAAACTCAACTGTTGTTAGAGCTGAGGCAGGTGCTTTTTCGTCTTCATGTATAACCCTTATACTTGCGTAAGTGAGTGCTCTTGGCTGGGGATAGCAGTGGGGAAGAGATTGTGTAAGATGGTGCTTCTACCCTTGAGCATCATTTTCGTGGGTAGTAAAAGATACAGAGTAGACCATCTAACTGGTTATATTTCTATTTCTTCACTGTTCCCCCCCCCCCCCCCCCGAGATAGGGTTTCCCTGTAGCTTTGGAGGCTGTCCTGGAACTAGCTCTTGTAGACCAGGCTGGTCTCCAACTCACAGAGATCCCCCTGCCTCTGCCTCCCGAGACCTGGGATTAAAGGCGTGCGCCACCACCGCCTGGAATTTCTCTTTTAGTACTTCATAATGTATATGATTATTTCTGTTCCAGCCATCCTCCACCAGTTGCATCAACATCTGTTTTCTTCGTCACATGGTCAGGGGAACTTGTGCAGGGCCCCTGTAGTTGAATGTTAGTGAGTCCTCTTTGTTTGGTGTCTTCTCAGCAGTTTTTGTGTATGCCTCCTGTGTGGAACAATCCATATAATAGGAGACAGGACTCTAAAAATCAGCCCATCATTTTATACTCATTTTCTCTACCTCCTTAAAACCCACACCAAGCCCCACCTTCCCTCTTGCCCACTTTGCAGTTCCTTCATATCTCATTCAATTTCCTATGTAATTTGCAAATTCAAGAGGATGTTTGAAAGGAAAGGTAATTTAGGTTACCTGACTCTGGTTGGGAGTGCCGCTCAGCAGGTCATCTGAAATCAGTTATTTTTGTCTTCAGTGTATTAGTATCTTCCCAGAACAAAACAAGTAAAAGATATAGCTCCTACCCATTTGAAACTTATAGTTCAAAGTAGGCTAGCTATATTCACCACCCTGTGAATGCCATGGTTGACTGATTAGCTAATAAGGCTACCGCCTCCGACTCTCTTCATGTGAGTTCCCTAACACTGTGAAGGAGGGTAATCTTTCATATCAGAGAACCAACTCTTTTTTACTTCAGAGGCATCTGTGGCACTAGATTTTACCTCCCTTCCTCAACTCCAGTTTTTCGGGTTTATGTGTAGCAAAGCTTTTTATTTTTCTCTGTCACTTGAAGGATATTTAGCAACAAGTCTGTTGTTTCCCCTTTCTGTCAAATGATTGGATGACTGTATGTCAGAATATATTGACAGCCATTGCACTCCTCACAAAGAGTTCCTGACTGTCCCTCTAGTATCTGCTCAGAAATCCCCTGCAGCTTGCCAAGATGGTATAGGGTGTTCAAAAGCTATTTCTATGTTTTACAAAGAAACAGAGTGAAAAGAAAACACACTATCTCTTTCTGCTGGTTTCTGCAGATTACCCCTACTTATTTGCACCCACGCCCTCAGAAGAGTCTAGTATACCTATAGTATGTTGAGCATTATAAAAGTCAGATGAAATGAACTTTGAATCGTTCCTACAGCAGAATTCTGTGTTTTGAAAACGATTAGTAAGTTAGCCACTAGTTACTTAGTAGTTAATATTCAGAAATGCAGACATTTGTACTGGAAACAAAGGAGAGGTATAGAAGAGCAGTTAAAAAAGAAAAAAATCTGGAGCTGAGTTTGTGGAAACTAGACAGGGCGATTTTGGCATTTGTTTCAGAAATGGGAACACAGCTGGTGAAGATTTCTGTGGTCCTTGGGGCTGGTGGTGACATCAAAGCTTTCCCATTTCCAGGTAAACTCCAGTTGCATGTGGGAACCTCCAAGTGTGACATGTTGGGTTTTGGAGAGATCAGATGTAGGTAGGTAAGAGGGAAAATGTGAGGTGAAGTCTCAGGTGTAGATTAATGATTTCATTGAGAAGTTGGCATGGGGAGAACATGAGAAGAGGCAGCCACAATTGAATCTTTTCCTGCCCTAAAATCGAGCATTCTAGGCTTCCAGACAGCAGAAGATGGGCAGCAAGGGAATAGCCAAGACGTATCTTACTGACATCTGGGCACAACCATGCTAACCAGGGAGGGTTTGAACTGGAGGGAGGCAAGAGTTCCCAGAGATGAAAGCAATCCTGGAGTTTTAGGGAGGATGTGAGCCCATTTCTAGGGATTTTAGGCTGGTCCCAGACACCTTCTTATCTCATGAATATCCAGATGTACTAGAGCTGAGAGAGAGTAATGTTCCTGTGTTTACTGGGATACAGTGTTTACTGGGATACTCCTTTCTAATCAGAAGTAAAAGCATGTTGGGTAGCTATGGCTTCTTTTCTGATATCAAATTGAGAAGTAAAAATACCTAGTTCATTCTTCAGGTTTGCAGACATTTCTAGTGTGTCTCTAGGTCCAGTGTTTTTACTTGAATACTAGAAAAGGATATTTGAATTCTTCCCAATAAGCTCAATAAATATAGATTCATAATTAGTAAAAATAATTTGTAATAGCAAGGACTTGGGCTGGGGATATATAGCAGTAGAGCACTTGCCTTGTGTGTAATGGGCCCTGGGGCCAATTCCCAGTACCGCCAAAACAGAAGGAAGTAAAGCACCTCTCCCAAATAATAACCAACAAAAACCTCCAAAACAAACGAGGACTGAAAGATAGTATACCAATGACAGTGGAAGAGCTTAGAGGCCAGTTACCCTGCCTTTGTGTGTAGGGAAAGCAGCGTATAGAGAAACTGTTCACTTGAGCAGGAGCTTTGGAGCATCACTTTCCTACATCCCACACAAGGACTTCTGACACCCGTTCTTGGGTAGCAGGCTAGTTTTACCCATTCTAGCTCAAAGTTTAAGTGAGTGAGGGACCCCAGGCTAGTTGTATGAGAGGTTATTTCTAGAAAGCCTCCTCCCTCTAGGGACCTCTGACTTGAACAGACTGGAGAAGGGACAGAGCTGGAATGGATTGCCCAACTGTTTAACCAAGAGAAAGGAAGAATGCACCCTGGACTGGGGACTCAAATGGACTGAGTTGACTATTGATTAGTCTTGGGCTCCTTTGTGGTGGTTGAGATAACTGTATTGATTTCTACATTCTACCAAATGTAGCAATATTTCTGGTTGGTTTCAATAAATCTTTCCTTTAAAAATGAAAACAAGCAGAAGCAAGAGTTTGTAATGCAATGCCTAGATTTAGCAAGGGCCTTGATAACCATTTTAATTTAAGGGCCTTGGTAATCTTCGGAGTAGTCATTTTATTGAATCAAAAATAGATAATTTTGAGCTTTTATTCCTGTTACAATGCTTTTACATGGTAACTTACACTGACATATACAGTTGTCACAATTGTCCTCATGAAGCATTAGTGAGAGATTCTGTATGTTCACTGCAAATTTTAGATACACATACTTAAGTTCTGAAATTCAGGGGAGTAAAAATGATTCCAGATCTAGGAGGCAACTGTTTTACAAATGCAGAACAATTTGGATAGATTAAAATATTTGAAAACAATTAAAACCAAATCAACCTGTACTTTATCTGTGTGCTGAGATTTTAGGTCCAGTGGATCAGAATACAGGGAAAAAACTAATGAGAATCCCTCAATGGATCCTTCACCCACCAAACAAGATTTCTTCAGAAACCGACTTGCTCTTGCAAATGACCTTGACCAAGGAACAGCTGTGTAAACACATTTACAGTTGTATTGTCAAGTGGTAAGAGGAGGGTAAAAGCTTGTATATATCTCTGCAGGAATATATATATATACATATATATATATCAATGCATAAATCCCTGAGGAAAACTAATATAAATATTTACATATGAAACTAAATCAACATACAAGATATTGAAGAGATGAAGATTAGTCTATGGTTAAGACTTGGCTTAATGAACCTCAACACTTGGGAAAAGGGAAATGAAGACTTTTCACATCATTACAGAAAAACATAATAAATTTGGAGGAAAATAAATGTTTGTAAGAACAAAAACTTGCACCTTGAAGTCATTCCCCAAGTCTAATAAGCATGTTCATTTTTAGCATGGATGTGAATTTTGTGCTTCCTAGGAATTTTAATTCATAGCTTTTGAATTCATCCCACTGTGCTTAGACTAATATGCCCTATGTGAGGGTCCAGTTGTGTCTTGCTTCATATCTTTCCAAACCTCAAAGCAAAATATAATATCCTTTAAGGCAAAGGATTACCAGAACTGTATTTTATTTGTGAAAACCAGAGCTCTAAAGAATTTGTCCTTAAACTATAATTCAGGAGCTTCCAAAGTTATGGATACATTGCTCTCCAGCTTGTTCTGTGGCTATGGAAATCAGTAAAGGGAACAGGAGTGGGGACAAAAACAAAAAAACATTCTCCTTGTATGGGCTGCTTTGAGGATGGCAGTGGTCATAGGTCCCAGTGGATAATGTGTCATACCTACTCATGCCCAAAGAGCCCAGGGAGACAAGGCACTATCTTAGCTACATTCTTTTTCAAAGACTTTGAACCCAGGGTCTTGTGCATGCCAGGCAAGTACTTAACCACTGAGTTATACCCCAGCCCCACAACCTTTTCTTTAGTCTGGACTGAAGCTGACCCCAGTACCAGGTATTTAATGGTCACATTTACCCAGTGTTTACTGCAAACCAGGATGAAAACTCAGGGGCATATTATTCTACTCTCTTGGAGGTTACAAAGAATAGAAGATTGATAGCCCAAGTAGAGAACTCACTCCTTCTGCAGTGAGGCCTGCCTGTGCCTGGTTTTAGAGTAATAAAATGTGCTGTTCCCACCTGGACATGCTCCAGATGGCCAGCATATCCTTTTCCTTGACAGGCTCCAAACATCAGATTTGTAACAGAAAGAAACAAAACAGAAGAGGTTTAAACTGACCCCTTTATTAGGCGGTTGCCTAAACAGTATTAGTATTCACACTGACTCCTGCAGCTATAGGAATGCACTGTAGATAGATGCCTTATTTTTAAGTATTACAGCCTTTCTCCTTGTCTAACAATTAAGTATGAACACATCCATTAGCATGCAGTTGAGTATATGAGACATGTAAAGGATTACTACTAAGTTTCTAGAGTTTCGGTTTTTAAATCTAAGCTGAGATCTTCATTTCCCTGAAGTTAACAGACCACTGAAATCAGATATTTATCAGGCTAAAATTGTTCTGGAGCAGTGCTAAAAATAAAAAGCACAATGCCAAATCAACTGGACATGGAAAGTGAAACAGAAATAACTGAACTATGAACAAAAGTAAGGAAAAATATTTTTTCTTTCATAACCTGTTTCTCATTAAAATCGTAGGTTATTAGAAAGTTTAGAAATATTGCACACTTCTCAGATTTTATTTTGATAGCACACTCCATCTACATCTGTAAACCATCATTGTATATTATTAAATTAATAATAATGTTGCCACTCTGACCCCCTGTTTCCTGTTACCTGGACCCTGGGTGGGTACCTTTCCAACCACCTGTAAGCAGTCCAGCCCCCCATATGCCTAGTGCATTCATATTCCCGAGCACATTAGTGAAACTTAACTCTTGTCTACTGTAAGATGCCCAGATCCTCAGCATCACAGTTTGGGTTCACTTTGCAGTAGGGCATCTAGTTTTCTGACTGTCTCTCACACTTCACAGTTCTGCATGATGAACTAACACCACCCAAACTGGGCCTTTGCTTTTGCCGGTAAACCATCACTTTCCAGCTCACTCTACTTTCACACCCTTGCTCTAGCTCTTTCAGCTGATCTCATTGTTAAGATCCAGATTGAGTCCAGATCCAGATTGAGTCCTTATTATTCTGACATCCCTGATGGTGTGACTGGTTCATCTTTTGACATACTTGTCTTCCCATTAAGAAGACAAGTCCTCTCAAGGGCAGGACTATGCTTTTCTTTAGGTGCTCCGTAAACCATTTCCACTTTTCATTTGATAGCCTTTAGCATTGTACCTGTTACCTTTTTAAAGGAACTCTGACCTTCCCCTCACTTCCACCTCCACTGCCCTTGTCCAAACCATTGCTATTGGACTGGCCTCCCTCTTCCTATTCTTAATTTAAGTATTGTTCATACACAAGTGGATCCTTTCACTCTTCTGTTCAAACTTCTGAGGGCTCTCAGGATTGTCACAATGGCTTTTAAAGCTGTAAGTGATCACTGGGCAGTGATGGCACACGTCTTTAACCCCAGCACTTGGGAGGCAGAGGCAGGTGGATCTCTGTGAGTTTGAGGCCAGCCTGGTCTACAGATCAGATTCCAGGATAGGCTCCAAAGCTTCACAGAGAAACCCTGTCTTGAAAAGCAAACAAATGAAACAAAAGCTGTAAGTGATCTACACTGATTAAGCTCCCTGTGGCACCTCCTTCTAGTTTATCCATATTCATTTCTCTATCCACACTAGCTACCTCTGCGTTGTGTATGCCAAGTATGTCTTTGCCTCTGGACTCTCCAACCAGCTCTTCTCTTAGTCACTTGGATGTCTCATTCTTTCATCTCTATCTCTATAAGGCCTACTGATCATTAATTGCATTTAAATTTCACACTTCCAGTCACTGACACCCTTTTCTTTTCATAGCAGTTATTTCTACTTATATTGTCTACATCTTGTTGGTAGCTTATAGATGCCATGAAATGGATTTTTCTTTATTACTATGTTGCTGACATCAGTTTTGTAGAGAGAGTTAATTTGTTTATGGCTGAATAGTCAAATGATCTCTTATCAAATGCTTATAATTTAAGGTCATTCAAAACCAACCTGAGTAGTGACAAACAGCACAGGAAGCCATAATGAATCAAATCATAGGACGTCGGGATAAATAGCTAACCTCTTAAGGTTTTTCTAAAGCAGCAAACTGCAAACATGCTCTTCACAAGTTTGTTTTTATGTTTTAGCCCTTGTACACAAGCCTTGTACTGATGAGTCAGTCCTTCCTTTGTGTATACAATAGTGGGAGCAGAATAAACAGGCCTGCCCACAGCACCTGTTACCCTGCAAACAGTCCTCCCCACAGCACCTGTTACTCTTTAAACAGTCCTCCCCACAGCACCTGTTACCCTGTAAACAGTCCTCTCCACAGCACCTGCCTACCCTGTAAACATGAATCTTCTATCTCTTGAGTTACTAAGGTAGTGAAACCAGCTACTAAACAGTTGGTAGTTTGTCTTACCTCCACTAATTATCAAAGGTCCCAAAAGGTTAGCATGGCCATAAACTGCTTTTCTGAAATTGTATTTTATCAAAGGTGCAAAAATGTAGGCTCAGCTGAGAAGCTGGCCTCCCTGATTGTGACCTCAGTGCCCTCCTCTGTGATGACCTATCATTTACTTTTGACGATAAAAAGGTGAATCTTTGGTTAAAGTTCAACATTTGAAGAGCAAAATCAAAATCTCTGATTAATTTCAGTGTTAATATTATTTAGAGTTAGTAAACCTGATTACCTAGAACACATTCAGTAATGCATGCCCGGAAATCAAGGTTTTAGGCATCCCTGAAGTCATTCGCCCAAACCCAGGACACAGTCTCAGTCTCAGTCACAAACTGACACAATCAATGCTTTGCTCAATCCTCCCCTGCCTTCCTTGTTTTTGTGGTGTAGGGGATGAAACTAGGGTCTCACACATGCTAGGCAAGTCTCTATGAGTGAACTACACCCACCTCCTTTTTTTGTTTTGAGACAGGTGGGAGGCTGGCCTTGAGCTCATTGTAGCCCAGGTGTACCTCAAACTTTTAATCATCCTGACAGTCTTCTGAGTAGATGGGATCAAAGACTGGACTACCAGGTCTGGCTTGCCTTTATTTAAAAATAAATGGACTGAATGTAATAATCTTTTAGTATTTGTTTGATATTATACTTAAGTGAACCTATGTATGCACAGTTCTTTAGTTATGAGCATAAGTTCTTTTTGTGCCAAGTTGGAAAGGACTCTAAAGTTGATCTCCCAACACCAGCTGGTCACAGCAAGAGCTGCCTGTCAGGGACCTGCAACACCCACGCATGTTCTTTTAGAAATACAATTGCCCTCTGAAACTCTATCCTGTGTATACTCAAAGGCCACTTGACTAATTTCTATCCTAAGTCTCCCTGTTACAATAATAGGACCTGACAAAAAAACTTACTGTATCCTTTTAAACTTGTTACAGGAAATAGTGTCCCAGGATGAAGGCCATGATAAAATGTAAAATGTTTCTATATGAAGTTATAAGCTAAATTAGACTCACAACATCAAAATGCTGCCCTCTAAAGTAAATGCTTGCAAAAATAATACACTGTGGGCTATGTAAGGCATTTTTCTTTATTATTTTTCAATTTATCTTAGTAATGCCAGAAAAATAACAGCCATTATTTTCACTTTTAACACAAACCAAATAGTGCTGCACATAGAGTACAAAGATGACCTAAAACATGGTTAGGTACAAAGGCCATTAAATGTATGGACCACACTTTGTTCTTACATCAAAGGAAGACTGACAGCAAATAACCGTGCTACTAAACAAAGGCAAATACACATATATACACAGACACATCTCAACTAAAACTATACATGTCACTTTGACAAACAAATTCTCTGGTGGGTTCACCAGGTATCTGCACCCCCAAATTCCCTGCCCTAATCCCGCCCCCAAATGCTGACTTGATCTGAAAAAAAAATCAGAAATGTTCTTAATTAAAGGCACATTTGGCAGCTACTGAAAGTGGCATGCGTCTGGCATGGGTGCTTTCCAAGCCACACCACATATAACTCGCATCTTTTGTGTATCTTGGTTTGTTGAGTGGTGGTCCAATGTGACCCACCTTTAGCTAACTTTATAATTTTCAGCAACTGGCTACTTAATGCACTATTTTTATTAAAGGCAAAAGGGAAATTTGCTCACAGTTGACAGAAAATGCACTTTATGGTGTCAAAAATGGAAAATAAGGTATGAAACTTATAAAAGACCTTACAAGTGCTTTTGTTACTTAGATTTGTCATGTAGAGTTCATGCTTTTTTTCTTAATTAGAACACAATGCCTCACTGGCTCATGTGTAAGGGACTATCAAATCATTTTAAAAGTTAGTACTGTTTCAAATGAAAAAAAAAATGGAATAAAGTCATCACTTTCCCTTTGAATTTTACTGCATAATTCTCTTTCAGCCAAATTGACAGTACCCTTATGATATGTATTTACTGGTAAAGACTAATGTGCAATGCACAGAACCTGTACCTGCACAACAGTCACGTGATAGACATGGAGAGAGCATGTAAACCTACCCAGCAGCACAATGCCATGTAATAAGTGGTTGTCTTGGTTCTGAGTCTGAAGAGGGGATAAGAAAGGTTTTCCTCTGTATGTACTCTAGCTGGGATAACATCCCCATTTATTTTCCTGAACCACTAAATACCCCTAATTTAGGCCATTCTATTAAGATAATGAAATAACATGTGAGCAGAATTTAATTACATGATCATTATAATAAATACCACTTTGGGTTTGCATTGAGAATTTGGAATCAGTATAGCCTCCAACTTAAATAGTACTTTATAGCATGTTCTGCTGATATTTGGTATATTGTTGGCTCAACTCATATCCATTCAAACATTCTTGAGTCAGAGAATAGTAACCTATTAAACTCACAATTTGATGCCCAACAGTCTTTATTTAAGCAAGAAATTTTAATTAGGCAGACTTTGAATACTTGTCATTTTTAATCTTCAAACAAACACATTTGAGAGAGTAGAAAGAATAAACATCCCCCACTTTTAATAAATTTAGAAACATGCACTTATCTGTCCCTGTTTTTCAAAGTACTTAGCTGTGAAAAGCATTTCTATTAGTGGTTATGAGCCCACCAAGAGGAACTCCATTTATTTTGTGATCCAAGGACAAGAAAACATTTGCTGACATTTGGTTTTCTGAAAGTAATGTCCCATGTTTGGGGATGTAGTTAAGCAAGTTTTTCTGCACTGGCTGCCTCATAATGTCCTAATTTCAGACGTAGTTCTGTAATGGTACATTTGTCTTCCGCCACTTCTTGTTCCCGAAAAAGTCCATTTTAGTTAGGACTAAGGATAAATTTGTCAGCCAGATAATGTTTAACACAAGGATATAGCTTTCTCACCTTTACCTCAGGGTATCCAATCAGAACTTTGAAAAAATCAGTTACCACTACAGAAAATATTTTTGAGAATAAAATTATCCTCTACCCATGATGTATATAAAATAGCTGCATGGTGTAGTGGTCTTCTAGAACAGTGGAGTAGAGAACAGCTCACTTTGGAAGAAATATGATTAACTCCAAATCTGAGCAATCCCTCTCTTGTTGGCTCAAGCAGAGTGAAAGGGTCACCACCCTGTTGAAGACAGCACTTGTCACAGAGATACTGAATGGGTTCTATCTAAAGTTGCTTTTCTTAGGTTCTCATTTGAAGTAGGGATGGTATGATCAAAATGTGATCAGTAAGCCATGGGAAATTATAGGGACAGTTAGACTTGTCTAATATGTCACAGGAGAATTTGGGATGTCATTACAATAATATGGAGCAGCATTCGTAAGTAGGCCTAGCTAGTTACCTTTGTTGAATGAATGGTCATTTGTTCAATAAATGGTCTTATAGACACTTTGCATCCAAGAAGGGATTTGAAATTAACTTTTGAGGAAATTAACTTTTAAAAGAGGAGACATTTTACAAAGAAAATGGCTACCATAATAGGAATGGTACAGACACTAAGTGAAGAAGATTCAACTCTAACAAATAAACAAGGTGATAGGATAGACTGCTTAATGATGATGCAATGAATGTCCTTTCTGATCTTAGAAGACTATACACTGTACTATTGAGATGCACATTTAGTGCTCTAATAAATATCACAAGAAATTATTAATGGGCTAAGTTTCTACTATGATGCAGCACAGTTCACAAAATTACTGAAGGCTGCTTCATTGTTGAGGACGCATGCACATGGATGACTGTCTAAGAATGGAATACTACACGGTTCACAGACATAGTGGAGAGTAATACAACTTTGTCTATTCAAGTTGCATGCATTTCAGTCACAGTATTTGTTAGACTCAGAGGAGCAGTACAAGGCTTCATGAATAACCACATGATATTAATGATACAGGTAGACATTCTCTAAGGAATAGCTCTGACACAACCAAAGACCTTAAGCAAAGTAGAATGTAAATGTTAACAAACATGTATGGTTGTTTGAGAAATTAAAAAAATCTGCATGGTTCTGCTTAAAATATGCCCATCCCATTTTAAGCCAGTATTTCTCTATCTGCCAAACTCCCAACTTCAGATTATTCTGTAAGAATTAGACACCCATGTGCTTTTATGCTTAGTGTTTGTATGTTTTTCACCCGAAAGAAATAAGAATCAATCATTTTATCCATATAATAATTTAATATATGCCAGCCAAACAAAGTACTTTATTTAATTAAATAAAAACAGACCTGTCAGGTATATTATATAACATTCACTATATACACATGATTTAGGCAATAAAAGGTAATTCTAAGTATGCTGACTACTCAACTATTAGTAAAACATGAATAGTGTCAGTGAGGCCCAGAGAGCGCTCCTTTTCACATTGGGTGCTTGGATTTCTGCAGTATGGTTAGAGGGACAGCCACAAGCCAGGACATATGTTACCAGTAAACTCCTGTGAGACAAGGGGGAAGGAGGATGACAGTCTAGCATAGATTAACAGTCTCCTAAGTGTAAATAGTATACTTGACAGTTACAATTTAAAAAGTTCCTCTTCCGTCATGTTAATGACATGAAATTTCTTGTTGGAAGGCAACACCACCACACTTTGTGAGTGGGGGTAGGTAGGGAATGTTCTTAAAATTGGTATAATTATTCTTAAAACAATAACAATAACAAAAAGTACCTCTTTGGTGAAGCCTCGGTACCCATTCAATTCATTGTAATAATCTGTAAACAGGACTGCAGTACAATGCTGGGCCTTGATTTCAACAAGGTCAGGTACTGCAGCCTTTTCTCACAGTCCTCTGAATGATGTTTATGAAAATATTCTAAAATAGAAGAATAAAGCAAAGGAAAACAAAGGCGGATACGATCCCTGTTTAAGATTTTTTTTAAAAAGTGCATGATATTTTGATTTACAAAAACTGTCAACATATGGGCCTGTTGGACATTAGGCTGTTTTCCATCCCTTTAATGATAAAGATTACTTCACAAAATGAGGACTCTTGCCTATTGGCCAGAAAAGTCCCTTCACGTGGCTTTCAGCTTCAATCACTTGTCCAATTAATTCCTCTAGATCAGTCTCCACATTCTAAGCTGGAATACCGTCTTATTCTGTAATGAAGTGTACATTAAAATTCATTCATTGTCTTATACTGTATCTTGAATCAGAGTCATTAGTGTTTGGAGTTTTCACTTCAACTCCTCAGTGCTGGCATGTTCAGTGCATCCATTGCCAGCAGTGGATTTGGGGCTAGGAAACTATACATCCCAGACAGAGGAGCTCAGGAAGAATGGGCATTCTCCAACAGAGGTGGTCCATCTCTGTGCATGGAAGGGTGTGTGTGCTCCCTCTTGTAAGTTTTTGGAGGAAGTTTAGGGATAAGTTGAGAAGTGCTTTGTCGTGGAGGAACAGGAGGCCCAGCAATGGAATGGAGGTCCACGTCCTGTGTCAGCGGTGGCGATGGCAGATGCCTTCTTGTGCCATGAGGAGAAGGAGTTTGAGGAGGAGGTGGTGTAAAGGGAGAAGGGCTATTTGGGAAGAAGGCATTGCCATGATCACTCTTTTTGCCCAAAGGGGGAGGTTGGAGATGTAATGGTGAGCTTGAGAAAACATCAGGTGTCCTCACAGGTTCTCGTGGTGGTAACAAGGGAGGGCTTTCAGGAGGGTCTGATACAGAGGTCCGATCTGAGAGTGAGTATCTTGGTGAATAGGCTTTTGATGTGGGTTGCCTAGGAGGAATAGCTGGGGGGCTGTCCAAGTGCTTAGACATAATCTAACAAATGAAAAAAAAATAGAACATGTGTTAATAATTTAATTTGAAAAGTAACATAAATATTTTAAGAGTTAACTTGGAATTTTCAGACATGTTACTGGCAGAACACTGTGTGTAGAACAGGGAGTTTTACTATATGTAGTGAAATGCTCTACCAATTCTTAGAGAAAAACAAACAAACAAACCAACTTTGTCAACATTAGCCAAAAATTTGTTTACTGCTGGCTGCCTATCATACAAATGCACTCTGATTTCTGATTTATCATAAACTATCCAATTTTTTTTTTGGTAGTGCTCACATTAGGCAAATGAACTACCACAACCCTAATTATTAAATTTAAAATGCACTGTATTAATGTTTCATGAAATCTACAAGGCCCTGACATATCCTGGTCTTCTGTTCTCTAGATAGCTTACGACCAAATAAGTTAGTAACTAACAAAATAAAGTAAATGATAAGGGGATGTAAATCAGTAGGAAAGTAGTTATCATGGGTCTTTAGGATGCCTTCTAACCTAGAATTTAAGTCCTTTTGTACATGGCTCAGAGAATAGCTTTTAGCAGATACCCAGTATAGCTTCGTTCCTTCACATGAACTCCACACTGCACTTGCACCCCCCCCACCATGTTTTTAAAAGAACTGCATGAGGGCTGGAGAGATGGCTCAGTTGTTGAAGACTAGGCTCACAAGCAAAGTATACAAGAATTGCATGAGCTCAAGTTAATATTACCTTGTAGGTTCAGACTTGTTTTATTCCTTGATAATGCTCATACTGTAATGAATATGAGTTTTGTATGCATACCCAAAAGCTACCTTTATAAGAAAATAAACATCTTGCATTTATACTTAATCCCTAAACTATTAAATCCAAATCCTGAGATGTTAGCTTATCCCAGTAAGAATAGACTTGACATAAACAACTGACCAAAGCTAATGATTCCAATTTCTAGATAACACAGTATTCTCTTTTACCTTAGATGGGGATGATTCTGCTGGGGCAGATTCTGGCCTTCTTCGAGGGGGAACAGGAGGGGGGACGGGCACTTCATCAGTGCCCTTGGCTAAACTTATAGATGAGACAGAAGCAGATCCTGCAAGGTATTAATTTAAAAACAAACAAAAAATGATTATAGGACTTTTATTTGAAAAGACTTAGATGGAAACTGCTTATACTGACTAAAAGAAATATGAAGTATCAAAAGCAGTTTAATAAACCAATACTCAATACCATTCCATTTTAAAAATAAACTGCTATAAAAGCATCCAGAAATTTCCTAGCAATTTTTTAAAAAGAAAAAGTTGCCTAAAATAGTCATTTTGCTTCTTAAACAAAATAACATTACCATTGTTAATCTATAATTGGAATCTTTAATTGGGTCTATTTTTCAGATATCTGTTAAAAGATAATTTGAAAACCTTCGGAATGGTCATTTCTGTCAAACTGTGGTAGGTTCATCTTTAAGCTTGATTGCTCTCAAGGTTCTATGCCAGACTGATGTTTATAGAACAGTCTCTGATTTGACAGCTCTACTGAAAAATCTCTTACATGATGTACATCAGAGAATCAGTGCCCTGAGGTCTATTCACATTTTCCTTGGGTCCAGACTCCTTAGCATGTAAGCAAAATTAGAACCATCACATCTAATCTAAAAACTTTAACCATGATGAAACTATTCAAAATACCATAACTGTACTAAAATTTAATGAGTCTGGGGCTGGAGAGATGGCTCAGAGGTTAAGAGCACTGACTGCTCTTCCAGAGGTCCTGAGTTCAATTCCCAGCAACCACATGGTGGCTCACAACCATCCGTTATGAGATCTGCTGCCCTCTTCTGGTGTGCAGACATACATGGAAGCAGAATGTTGTATATATAATAAATAAATAAAATCTTTAAAAAAATTTAATGAGTCTGATTTAAGAATAATTTGATGAGATGGCACAAGAAGTAAATAAAACTAGAACCCATTTCATAGACATTTAGTGAATAATTATGCTTTAAAAGACTACACTTATCTATTGTCAGTTTATAAACACAAGAGAATATTTAAATATTTAAAATGTACTTGGATGGTTCTTTTTATTTCTTTAAGCATTCTGTTCCCTCCTGCCATTAAATTCATAGCAATACAGAGTGTAAAGAGTATTCTGTGTACAACTTTCCGGCACTGGGGTTCCCAGCATGTGACACAATGCCACGCTTTTATGTGGATTTAGGGAATCCATGGTCAGGTCCTCATGCTGGCATAACAAACACTTGGACCACTGAGCTGTCTCCCAGACTATGAACAACAGTTTGATCACCTACTTTTTAGAGAAAATATATACAATTCAAAAAAAAAAAAGAAAATATATACAATTCATTTAGCTCATAATTGGTATTTTTATTGTATATATTTTGAAGAGTAAAGCCATTGATTTGTTAGTTTAAAACAACTAAAAATAAAATTTATAGAGAATTGTTAGTTTACTTTAAAACTGAAAGCAATTAACTACAATAACACTGGATTTTACCTAAATATTTAGAACTTGCAACTAGTTATAATTATAATGTAGTCCTTACAAAGCGGAATACAGTTATTTGCCTACACTCTATGCTGTCAGCAGGCTAAGTTGACTTTGTAATCTGGACAGTGCATGTTGCCAGCTTCCCCACTGCACACGTAGGCTCTTGCTTCTTTTCAAAGCTGTTTAGAATGGCACAATTACAAGAGAGAAATGGTTAAGTGTGGGAGCTGCTCACTTAATAGGTTCTTTTAAAGAGCAAAAGGTTTTATAAAAAAAGCATAAAAAGTATATATTGAAGCCAATTGCTTAAGGCCAAAAGACAGCAGTAGTGAAGGCTCACTTCTAAGATGGGGCAGGCAAGGAGGGTCAGCAGCAGGGGAAGGTGACCCCCAGCCTGGTTTTTAAAGCCAAAGTAGGAGTTAAGTATTAAATTAGATATACTGACTTGGGCCATGGGGCAGTGTAACCTGGGCAAAGATGATATCTCTGCCTGAAAGAAAGAAACGGGCAAAGCTGTTTTCTCCCACTAGTACTCTCAGCTCACCTATAAAAATGTATGCATTATGACGCTGCTGTTTTTACCATGTTAGTTTTAAAGAACACCAAACATTTTTAGAAAAACCTCATTAATATTTTTGATAAGAAAAAAAGGAGTTATATCATATGGAGAATTTTGAAGTTTTTCTTACTATTTAATGTCATAATATAAATGAAAAAGATTCATTAGAAAACAATATGATGCTGTATTATTGGAAGACTTTTTACATTTATTTGTGTGCATATGTGAGTTTGTACACGTGCTGCTGCAGTGTGTGTTGAAGTCAGAGGATGGGACACAGCTTGTAGGCGTCAGCTTTCTCCTTTCACCATGAGGGCTCCAGGGCTCCAGGGGTTGAGTTTAGGTTGTTAGGCTTAGTGGCAAGCATCTTTACCCTGCTGCGCCATCTCACCTCCCCCATGGAAGGCACTGCAAACTGTAAACCCCATTCAAGTGGGGGAGACTCAAATCATTCACTAGAGATTAAAGGGAGAATCAGACAGATTTGATATGCTTTTGGAACATATATTATCATTATAAAATATTCAGTTTTGAATATTAAAACAAGCTTCTGTATTCATAAACACTTATATATATTTGGTTCTTCCATATTTCTTATTTAGGAAATTCCTTGATAAACTTAGAATACCTAATTTCAAAAATATTAATTCTTTTAAGAAAAATGAAGGCCTTAATTTATTTAATAATCAATAAGTTATTAATAATTCAGTCTTAAAATTTTTAAAAGAAAACATTAAAAAAAAACAACCCAAATATAAAACAGTGGTTTTCACCCTTCCTAATGCTGCAACCCTTTACAGTTTCTCATGTGCTGACCCCAACCATAAAATTATTTTTGTTGCTACTTCATAACTGTAATTTTGCTATTGTTAGGAATCATAATGTAAATAATTTTTTTGGAGGTAGAGGTGTGTCAAAGAGGTCTCTACTCACAGGTTGAGAACCACTACATTAAAATGTAGGAAAACAGGGCTAGAATACCATGGCTAGTTGTAAATCATCATTGCTACACTAATTCATTACCAACACATGGAACATAAAATAATCCAAATGACTAAAATAATTCTTACAGTACTATACTTACCTGATTATTAAAAAAATTCAGATTTCCCTCTCACTTTTTTTTTAATTCTGTAGTTTCTTTTATTATTACTATTATTATTATTAAGGTTCATGGGTATTCTGCTTGCATGTATGTCTGTGTGAGGGTGTCGGATCCCCTGGAACTGGAGTTACAGACAGGTGTGAGCTGCCATGTGGGTGTTGGGAATCAAACCCAGATCCTCTGGAAGAGCAGCCAGTGCTCTTAACCTTTAAGCCATCCCTCTAGCTCTGCCTTTCCCTTGTTTTTATGCAATAACTCAACTAATTTGGGAGGTTTCCTAGCTTTTGGCCAGGAGGATAACTGTACACTCCAGGTTTAATTAGCTTGATTACCTTCATAAGCTAGTGTCATATCACTTCTGAGGAACCAGAAAAGAGATCAAAGGAAGTGTGTAGCTTTAGTATTGACCTTCTTACATACTTTTCACTTGTATTTTTCTTTCTTTCTTTCTTTCTTTCTTTCTTTCTTTCTTTCTTTCTTTCTTTCTTTCTTTCTTTCTTTATTTTTTGTTTTTTCGAGACAGGGTTTCTCTGTGTAGCTTTGGAGCCTATCCTGGCATTCGCTCTGGAGACCAGGCTGGCCTCGAACTCACAGAGATCCGCCTGCCTCTGCCTCCCGAGTGCTGGGATTAAAGGTGTGCACCACCAACGCCTGGCTCTTCTTTAGATATTTAATTGTGTATGTGTGCACACCAATATGTGCATGTTGGAGCCTGTGAAGGCCAGCAGAGGGCATTAGGTTACTTGGGGCTGGAGTTTCAGGGTTGTGAGCTGCCTTGTGGGTGCGGGGAACTAAATGCAGGTCCTCTTGCAAGGGGAACTAAATGCAGGTCCTCTTGCAAGAGTAGTAAGTGCTCTTATCCCATGAGCCAGGTCTTCAGCCCCTTGATTTTCTTAAAAAGGAAATAGTAGATAGAGATAACCCTCAAGAACATCACAATTGATAAATCCTAGTCAGCTTTGGCCTTTTGGAAACCTAAGTAAGTAATGGGGCTGACTTTATGGTGAGTGAAATATGCTCAGGTGACAGCAGGCTGAACTCACTGCAGCCCTTTTCTGACTGAGAGCCAACAGTGGGAGCAACTGCAGGCTCTAGCAGCCCCACAGCGTTAGATCTGCTTATCCAGGGCAGGCAGGTACCTTTAAAACAAATAGACTATGGATGGAATTGGATGAACATGAGGACAGTTTTATATTAACCTGAGTTACTTTATTTCAATTTTTACTAAGGGAAGAGTAATAGTTTCTTTATAAGACATTGAGCCAGGTGGTGGTGACTCATGTTTTCAATCCCAGCACCCGGGAGGCAGAGGCAGGCAGATCTCTGTGAGTTCAAGGCCAGCCTGCTCTACAGAGTGAGTGCCAGGACAGGTTCCAAAGCTACACAGAGAAACCCTGTCTCGAAAAACCAAAAAGAAATTGAGAAATCCTGAAGTTTAGGATTACAAAGCTTTATCATTCCTGGAACAGTTTCCTCTCTTTGTCTAGAAACTTTGTTTCTTACACATGCTACTGAACTGAACCACAACATTCCAGAATGATGACCTCTTCCATGACTAGTCACTTAGACTTAATACTACTAGAGAAAATGTGTTTATCTATTTTCTACCTCTTCCAGTTTTAGTGACTTAAAATAAAAGCAGAATTCACAATCGATAGTTTTCATGTGCCTTCAATAATTCAATTATTTAGGGATCATTATAATGTGGACTTAAAGGTCTCTCCTCTAGGATTGGAAAACATGCAAACAGCTGAGTGGGTCCAAAAATAATGAATTTTATTCATACAGACAGGAAAATTGTGGGTTTTGTTTTAGTGCTCAAGAGGAGTGTCAAATTGGATAAAAGTATATTTTTCAGTCAGTGTCTATTTGACCTTATGTGACAGCTTCCTATGTGTACAATGTAATGTAACTTCACGGTCTTCAGTCACTAAATAAAGCCACGTAAACTCCCTATAAATGTATCTTATGTGGTATAAAGACAAGACCCAGCACTGGTTGACTACAGATTCATGCATACTAGGAAACATTATACAGGATTCTGGGCCAAATTTCAAAATAATATACCTGCAAAGATTTACAGATTTTTAGTTGGTTTTTCTGGGTTAGAAAAAAATTCCACAAGGCATGCAAAAAGTATTTTATCAAAGAGCAGGGAGGTTATAAGACTTGGGGTGATAATCCAGGATTCCCACAGCAAAGGTTGGCGTTCTCAGTTCTGCCTCAGTTGTGATGGCATGCTGCCATGAGGCTGGCACGGGGTCAAGACCTTAAGTAGAGTCTGATGAGCTAAGAAGGCCAATGGGAAGAACAGGTGCAGACACTCATCAGAGCATTAAAGTTGGATTGATTCAAAGATTGACCTAACAAAAAACATATGTAAAAAGGTGATGTGTTCTTAGGGGAGCTGCAAAGCTCTTGATAAAATATATAAACCAATGGTCAGTTGGAAAAGCCCGTGACTGCTGAGCGCATCCTTGGGCTTGTCTGAATTGAGATGTGTGATGAATAGAAGAGCACAATGGATTTTAAATATGAAGAACAAGAGTGTAATGCTATATTATTTTACGCTGAAATAATTTCTTAGTTATGATTGTATTTTCTAATGTGGCTACTAGACATTTATAGTCATACATATGGCTCCTATATTTCTGTTGGACAGTGATGACATAGCAATACCAGGGTACTACAGGGAGTTTTAGGAAGGGCCATCTAGGAATTTAAATTTTATACACTGTAAAGTCAGAAGCCAATGCAGAATTTAGTGGGGAGGGGATGATGTACCTTATATTCAAACTAATTATTTTGTGGGCTGGAGAGATGGCTCAATGGTTAAGTGTACTTGCTGTTCTTCTAGAAGACTGGGGTTCAGTTCCTAGCATCTACATGGCAGCTCACAACTATCTGCTACATCTGCTTCAGGGGACCTGATGCCCTTTTCTGGTCCCTGCAGACACACATATAGTGCATAGATACCCACATAGGCAAAACACACATACACATAAAATTAAAAAAAAACCCACAGGGTCGACAGTCTTTGAAGATTTGATATAAGAGGTGCATTTGGGTAAATTTAGAGTGTTGTTTCAGCAGCTTTAAAAAAACTCCAAGTGAATGGAGTTTAGATTTAAAGAATTATATCTTTTGAAATAGTATCAGGCTTGTGTATACTTTCACTTGCATATGAACACACACAATCACAGAAATTATTTTAGCCACCTACTTGAGTGAAAAGGGCTTGCTGAATGGTCAGAATCAAACACGCTGCAAACATCCGTGGTACTGGAAGCACCGGACGCAGGAGGAGGTGTCAGTGGCGTTCTTGGAGAATTGGGTGCAGAGGCTGCACTTTCAGTCTCACTTTCAGGGATCCTGCTGTAACTAATTTTTCTTGGCTCCTGCTGCAGAGGTGTGGGGTGCCTCATGGTTCCTGGTCTTGGGTTTGACGGACGGACACCAGGGGATTTTAGAGGATAGCTGTATTTTTTTGGCTATAGACATCAAAAAGAAAAACAAACCACAGTACTTAAAACATAGTGGCTAAAAGGAAGGTTTTTCTCTGATAGGAAAATTACAAATTATCAATATGAAAATGTCATAATGATTTAGATCAGAGCATCCCAAGTTTCAGTGTTGTCACTTCATCCTACTGAAGGTTTGCTATAGTAATTGTTAGAAAATAAATGTATTTAACTTATTTAACTGAGTTTTAGTATAAACACCAGAATGTTCATTAATGTGGCACCTTGGCATACTGAAATTTTTCTGAAATACATTGTGTAATTGTTGTTTGCTTTTTGAGACAGGGTTTCTCTGTGTGACAGTCCTGGCTATCCAAGAACTCACTTTGTACACCAGGTTGACTTCAGCCTTCCAAGTGCTGGGATTAAAGGCATGCACTGTCACCGCCTCCCCAGCAAATTCCCTGTTTTTTAAAGCATACTATTTGGGGCAATTAAACCTTGTTGGGAAAGGCAGGATAGTCATCATGAATTGTGGTTCCCTGTTGTAATACAGTGATGCCATTAGCCCATTAGAACATGGTCTACCTACAGATGGACTGAGTTGCCTGCATGCTCTTTAACCCATGTGTACAGTGAACTTTAGGGCCCTTTCCCTGCAGAGTGCTTACTTTACAATGATATCAGAGTGTCTCACTGGAGTTGACATATATATTTCCAATGAACTATTTGAAGGGTTACATGTAAAAGCTGTTTTAGAGTTTGAACAATCTGGTTATGAGTCACAAACATTATATAGTTTATTGTGACCACTCAAAATGATTTATATTTACTTTTTGACTATGAGTGAGTGAACATATTCAGATCAGTGAGGAGTAATACCAAGCATAAACTTGGCCAGGCATTAGCAAATTACTATAAAATAAAAGAACTATTAAAAGTATCTTTATTCAAACTTTGTGTTACTATGGCTTAATGACTCATGGTTAAAATTTTAACTTTTGTTAAAACTAAAACTTGCAAACAATATAAATTTGCTAACACTTACTGTTACACCATGTAAGAATTTATTGAAATTAATGTTCATTTGAAACCAATTGGGATATTCCTGATTATACATATTAATTACTTTTAACCATCACATATACCTCATCCCTAAATGCTTTCACAAGAAACTAATTTACATGACACATGGTATGAACATACAATGGTATTGAGGATATCCCCAGATGTAGGACAACTGCAAAAAGGGCATAAAGCTGTGAATATATGAATGCTTACAAATCTTGGAAGAGGCTTAGGGTTCCGTGGTTCTATTTCTAGGGATTTGTTGAAAAGATAGTCTGTAAATTCTTTCTCCATGCTATTTCCCATTGGATTCAAGTTTTCAAAGAACCTCTAAAATAAATGCAAAAAAATTATTAGTATTAAATATTACTAATCAAATTTCAAATGCATGAAAATAACTTAGGATACATTCAATATAAGGAAATTTGAATTATTGATTCTAAGTTTTGTTTCCCCTACAAAATAAACTTGGCCTGTCTGAGGCACTGTGTAAAGTTGCTCTGAGATAGGGATCCTCACACGATTCAACTCACTTTGATATCTGACTCCACCCGTAAACAGTAAGGCTGGTTTTGGTACTGCTGGATCTCCCCCGTTATCTCTGCCACTTTCCTCCTTTTGCTGAAGTTGATGAGCTCTTTCCCATGTCTTTTCAGGACTTCAGGGTTGCCTTCTTCTGTTTTTAAGATATTAGTGAGATATATTCCTACAAGAGACCATGAAATTACTTCACGGGTAAAGAAGGAAAATGTTTTTTTCTTTCTCATTAGCTGCAGGGATTTATGCAGATAGTCATAATAACCAAAGAACCAAGGCCCAGATTTCTATCCTATGAAAACAACAAGCTCAAAGAGCATCAAGAGAAGTATTTCTGCATTAAACCCTTTTTAAAAAGACTTAAACTTTACAAACATTCAAGGAAATGGAGATCAAGTTTCAGACACAGATTTTTTAAAAGAGAATAACCAATCTTCCATATTCCTCAAACCACCATTACATGACTTATAAAAGAAAACTTTTATTATTGAAGAAACTTAACAGTGTTGTCATTGATGATGTATATTATTGCCAAAGGGGGAAAACCCTCAACTCAGAAGATTACATTTTCTGCCTATTCAGTTTTTAGTCTCACTATTTGGAGATGATGTTTGAACAGGCTTACTTTTGGAAATGCAGAAAGGACTTCAAGTCTGTCAAGCACAGGGTGACAGATAGTTTGTGCATATTTTAGATTTAGTGCACCTGGTGATATGGCTGGCCTTAAACTTGTTATGTAGCTGGGGATGACTCTCAACTTACCCTTCTGGCTTCAAGTGGGATATAGGCACACATCACCGTACCTGGTTTATGTGGTACAGCGGATTGACCCATCTGACCACACCCCAGGCCCACTTCAGCTCTTATCCAGCCCTCTGTGTCCAGGAGCATTTTTAGTTCCTTTTCGTCCTGGTACAAAGGTTCTAGAGCCAGCTATGGTGCTTTCTACCTGTGCTATCTTAACATAAATTCCTAAGTCTGTCTCTGTGCATCAGTTCTTCATCTCTAAAATGGAGATATAAAGGTTGCTGTGAGAAACAAATGAGAGTTTATATATAAATTTAGAATAGGCCTGACAAAACAGAACGTGTCCATTAGTAATGGTTGGCGCTGATGTTGGTATCTAGATAACTTCTCTCCCAGATTACATACTGCATCTCAGGGAAGGGGTGGAGTATAAGGTGTAGACACCTGAGTTCACTGAATATGAATGTACTGCCTTTCTGCTATAGGTTAATTACTACATTCAATACTGTAGATAAAAATACAGTGTGTGTGTGTGTGTGTGTGTGTGTGTGTGTGTGTGTGTGTGTCCGCGAGCGCGCTCTCGGGTTTCTGATCTCAGAGAATCCAGAGCTTTGAAGATGAGGTACTAGGGGGGTACAATTTTGCAAGTGCTGTACTAGAAAATGCTATGCTAGTAATAATGTTTAAGATGCTGTACCAGCACAAAGGAGGTGTACCTATCCTGTCTTGAGTTGATGGGATTAGAAAAAAGATCATTAACTCTCAAAAAAGTGAGTTAAGAGTTTAATGGGTAGAATTAAGAGGGAGGGTAGTGATGGGATGTGAACACACGTGATGAAGCGTGGAAGGCAGTCTGAGAGCTGGTAGTGTTTGGCATAGTTAGAGTCTAAGGGTGTATTTATTGTGTGGAGTGAAAGAAGACTGGAAGGATGTTAGACAGACAAGATCAGTAGTTCTAATGCTTAGCAGTAGAGGAGAACTTGTAAATGATGTCACTTTTTGCTTTTCTTTTTAAAGTGTGTGTGTGTGTGTGTGTGTGTGTGTGTGTGTGTGTGTGTGTGTGCTCACGCACATGCACCATGGCATAAGTGTGTGGATCTGGTTTTATCTTCCATGTGCGTCTCGGGGATTAAACTCAGGTTGTCAGGACTAGCAGCAGGAACTGCCAGCTCACCAGCCCTAAACACTGCAAGATTGGTGGGTCACATTCTTTAAAAGATGAAAAAACTCAAGCCAGTAATGAAGAAGTCAGCAAGAATAAATAGGACTGACGTCAGTGCCTGCTCACTTTGGGCACATGATTTACTTGTATGTTTCTCAGCACCAAAGCCACTCTTGAAGGTATGTTCATAAAACAGATACTATGCACTGTATACTAAGCATAGGCTCTTGTGCTTTCTAAAAGACATGCCCTTAAGAATGTGCATATTCAATGGCAGCAGCCAAAAATCAGTTCTCCAAATTAGACTCAGATTATGAAATGTCTTTTGTTAAGTTTAACTTTCATTCTGGGAATGGTGGTACAGAGATATCAGGCCATCTTAGATTACACAATGAGTCTTTGTCTTAAAAAAGAAAAAGAAAAAAAGGTTAACTTTTATCTAGGAGACAATGAGTAGAAATATCTTTTCATTCTAGGATTGCTAGCTGCACTGAATGCCAAAGGAGAGCAATTTGCAGGCTATAATACTTTGTGTGATTGAAGATAGCAGAGGGCATAAAATTTTAAGAGGTAGACCCTTTAAGAGTCCAACATCCTCATACAAACATACATATAGGAAAACACCAATAAGATAAAATTAAATAAAAAAGAATTTAATAACTGGGACAGGATAGGTGGCACAATGGTTATGTGGACTCATGTCTGGTTCCCAGCACCCATGTCAGATGACCCCCTGACCACCTTTAACTACAGTCTCTCCCAGGGAATCTGATGCCCTCTCAAGAGTACTCTCCCAACACATGGTGTATACATGCACACATAACCCAAATAAAATTTTAAAAGAACTTTACTGTTTTAGACAAGGGCAGGGCATAACAGGAAGGCTCTGAGCTCTGTGCTTAGGTGACTGAAGAAGTGGTACAGGGACCATATGGGAAAACAGGATGGTCACAGGCGTTACAAAGGAACAAAACACTTGGATGAAGCTATAAAAATACAAGTAGCATTTTGGAAAATCTCAGGATAAAATTTGGAAAAGTATTTTATGCCTGATTAATGACTAGCCAAAAGAATGCATAGTAGTAATGTCCAAACTTTGTTGATCAAATACCGCATCTATATAAATGTTTAAACGTATGTAATTTTTTAATTATAAAGAACATTTGTATATGTGCACATATGATAGGAACCTCAATATTATATACTAGCAATATCCTTTTTATTTTATTTAATATGTATTTTGCCTGCATGTATATCTGTGCACCAAGTACATGCTTGGTACCCATTAGGGCCAGCAGAGGGAGTTACAGACAGTTGGAACCACTGTGTAGGTACTAGGAATTGAACCTGTCCCCTGAAGTAGTGCACTTAACTACTGAACCATCTCTCCAGCCCTATCATAGTGTGATTTTTCTTTAAGAAAGAAACATATGTTTGTCTATGTGTATGCATGTGTAACTCTAAATGTGACTGTATGTCTATCAAATAGTGGTCTAAATGGCCAAATTATCTTCTGTTCTGAAATAATGTTTTTTGTTTCTTTGTTTTTTGTTTTTCAAGACAGAATTTCTCTCTGTAGCTTTGGAGGCTGTCCTGGAACTCGCTCTGTAGACCAGGCTGGTCTTGAACTCACAGAGATCTGCCTGCCTCTGCCTCCTGAGTTCTGGGATTAAAGGCGTGCGCCACCACTGCCTGGCTAATATGGTTCTTTCATTCACTCAAAAAACATTTGTGTCACCCACATGGTTAGGTGCTAAAATAGACAAGACACTAACCCAGAGTGTTAACAGCTCCTTTGAAAGAGCAAGAAACTACGCTACTATATTATAAGCAGAACATTATATTGCAGAAGTATGTGCATCAAAGTATGAGCAAACTGCCAGAGGCCAAAGAACCCTGAGATGCCTTTTACTGCTAGGAAGCTAGGGAAAGACAGGGGCCTAAAGTTAACTCCCCCTTCTGTGTTACTATGTCACAGTGCTGTCTTTTCCCCATCCCCACGTAACTGCAGAGTATGTAAATGGGTCTGTTGACATACTGGAAATAATGCGTTGAATCACAGGGTAATGATGAAATCGTCACATTAATTTTATGGATAGCATGCAGTCACTGTAAATGATTATGTAAGAAGATTATTTAAAGTATAAAATACACTTTGGATGAATATGAAAAAAGTAACATATATGGTATACAATTACATAAATCTACACATCAAAAATACCACAAGCAGGCCAGATGTGGTGGCACACCTTTAATCCCAGCACTCGAGAGGCAGAGGCAGAGGCAGGTGGATCTCTGCAAGTTTGAGGCCAGCCTGGTCTACAGAGTGAGTTCCAGGACAGCCAAGATGACACAGAGAAACCCTGTTTCAAAAAACTAAAAACCAACACACAAAAAACAACAGTAGAAACCAAGCAAATATAAAAATACTTAGTTATAAAGCTATAACAATAAAATATGAGAAAAAGATACATTGAAGAAAATATCAAGATTACCATTGTTCAGGAAAATATAAGGGTTACCATTGTTGTATGCACCACAACTTAAAACTATATAGGAAAAACACCACAGATAAAGCTAGGAGAAAATTTGCCGAATAGTGAAAAGGTCAAACATAAGAGAGATAAATTTCTACAGACCTTCAGAAGAAGGCTCACCAGAGTATGTACAAAGGCAGGCAGGGGAGAGCCTGATGCTAGAGTGGAGGCGTAGCCCTGGCAGAAAGAGCATTTGCCAGTGTGTAAGCTCTGGGTTCCATCCCTAACACTGAAGGGGGGAAAAGGTGTGTGAGTGGGACAGGGGCAACATGAAAAAAAATATTCAAAGAATATAATGTAGGGAATAAGTAACCGTGGGAGAAAAGGGAACCTATAGGAAGGCAACAGACTGAAGTACCAGCCTTCAGTCTCTATCCAAGAGAAGCAATAGATTCAGATGGGAGAGTCAGTTTTGAAGAAAGACATTCATCCTTCAGTGCAAAGGAGGGAGATAAGGGGCTGGTCAAAATAATATCCTAATGTGCTGTCTTAAAGGCACATGCAGTGAGCTTTTTAGACTGTGTTTTGTTAAATGATTAAATACAAGTATGGATAATATGGTCATGCTTCTACTTTATCAAAATTAAAGTACAAGACAAGTCACAGTGGCGTACATCTGTTATCCTAACCACCAGGAATACAGAGACAGGAGGACTACAACAGTAACAAAGAATAATGGAAGGATTCCAAGAATACAAAAGACATGAGTAACATAATACCTGATGGCTACTGGAGATGACACTAGGAAGTGAGGCATGTACAAGCTGAGTCCTTGTCTGAAATGAGGGTCAGAGGGCTTTGGACTTAACTCTGCATTGGAGTGGTTATGGGTATCCTGGGTGTGGGGTCCAGGTCTAAAGAGAAAATTCATTTATAGACCACACATGCCTTGTATCTATGGCCTAAATGTTTGGTGTATTTTGTTTGTGTTCCGATAGGGTCTTGCTATGTAGCCCAGGCTGGACTCGCATTCATGTGTGTGCTACCATGCCTGTCAACTGAAGGGTATCTCACAGTGTTTGCAGTGAATCGATGCTCTGGCTGTGACCCTGAAGCAAGGTCAGATACAGGACTTCCCACTTGTGGTGTCACCTTAACAAGTTTCAGATTTTTGAAAATTGTAGATTTTTACATTAGGATGCTCAATCTATACTAGATTTGATTTTTTTTTTTTTTAAGTCCTAATGTGGAAAAATTCTGAAGGGATTCAGGTGCTATTTTCTATACTCATTTAATTAAATGTCTTGTTTTATCCAGAAACACAATTAAAAATTAGGAAGAAATACTTACCAAAGAAAGGCACACATGGTGGATTAATAGACCTGAGTTTTGCCAAATATTTCTTATAGTGATCTTCACTCAACTCATGAGCTTCTTCTAAAATTTTCTTTTGTCTACTTGGTATTTGCTATAATAATAATAAAAAAAAAAAATTAGGAGGCCCCAGTTGCAAATCTTGCCAAAAAACACCTAGCTAACCATTATGGCCCATTCATATCCGTCTGATTCCAACTAGTACTGTTTTTTTATTTTTTAATTTATTTATATTTTGAGACAAGTTCTCACTGTGTATTCCTGGCCAGGCTGAACTCACTAGTAGCTCAGGCTAGCCTCAAACTCATGGAGATCCACCTGCCTCTCCCTCCCAAGTAGTGAATTAAAGGTCTGAGTGTCCACAGATTTATGGTTAATGCTATTTTTCCTTTTTCTTTTTGCCTTTTTCATACACTTTAGTACAAACTTAAAAATGTGCATGATACAGTATATCTTGCCATCCCTCATAAAATTTATGTGAATGTTTAAGTATTGTAAATAAACTGCTGAATATAGGTCAGCAAGCTCGATCAGCTGTGCAAGCCTGGTGATCTGAGTGACCCTAGAACACCATTGAGGTGGCAGGAGATAACCTACTCCACAAAAATCCTTCTGACCTCCACATGTGCCTATGGTGCGCGCACACACAAAATTAAGAAAATAAAACACCTGGCTTCTTTTTCAATAATAGGTTAAAATATTCATTTAACTAAATTTCATAATGAATGGTTTCTCTTAAAATTAAGTGTTCGCCGGGCGTTGGTGGCGCACGCCTTTAATCCCAGCACTCCGGAGGCAGAGGCAGGCGATCTCTGTGAGTTCGAGGCCAGCCTGGTCTCCAGAGCGAGTGCCAGGATAGGCTCCAAAGCTACACAGAGAAACCCTGTCTCGAAAAACCCCCCCAAAAAAAAGAAAAAGAAAAAGAGACATTTAAATATTAAGTATCACAATTGTGAACATTCTGATTTCCCATTTTATTAGCATATATTAATTACACATAATGGCAGACTGAATTATGACTTTTTTTCACACATGTCAACAATGCATTTTGACCACATTCACCCTACAGTCCTTTCTGGCCAGTCTTCCTCCCCCTGGAGCCCTTCTGCCTCCCAAAGTCTTCCCTTCTACTGTTCCTTCCCACCCCCAGTTAATCAGGGTAGCTTACAGGAGCATGGGTAAGAGGTCATTTATGGAACACAGGACCGTACCACTGACAAAGATGTTCCTTGCTCTCTCAGCAACCACTAACTACAGTTATAGCCTGTGGAAGAGAGAGGGCCTTGTAATCCCCGCCCCAGCTTCTGTGACACCATGCTGACGGCCCAGTTCAAGTATAGGTCTTATGCTGATAATCATGGCTGCTGAGAGTATAATGGCCATGTCATACATACAAATTCCTATTGTTAAAACAAGCAGTGGAAATTCATTTGAAAATACATGTACAAACCTACCTCAAATGTGTGGTCTAGCCTGTAAACAGGGGATGAGTTCATAGCACTGACAACCTCAAGGACACCATTGAAGTTGTTCAGTTCTTGAAAGACTTGTAGAATCTCAATTATCCGACTCACCACAGCTACTCTTTCTTCTAAGTTTTCTGTTTCTACAATACATCTAGAAATTGAAAAGAATTAAAAATTTGAATTTTCCTCAAAAGCTATGATTCAAAAAGTATTAATGAAAACAATGATCTAGAGAGTGCGTGTTGTGGCTTTTGTGTGACTACAGAAAAAACGTATACAGTGATGCACTGGATTGATAGGAGCTGCAGAGAAAGGGAGGCTTCTTGTGGAGCATGTTAGTCTTTCTGAAATCCAGACTGCTATAGTCAGACAACCATCTCTGATATAGTTAGCACATCCTCTAGTGTCAGTATTAGAATAACCAATATCTTACTGAATGTGTGAATCTTCGTCATTTAGGTGTGTTCTAGGCATGTTTATTCTAGAACTGTGGTTTCCTTTGTGTGTGTGTGTGTGTGCATGTATGTGCGCGCACGTGTGCATGTGTGTTTACACAATCTTATTTCAGTGATTCATTTCTGTGTTTGCCTGAACAAAGTTTTGTTATATAGGCTCAAGATGGCCTGGAACTGGTAATATTTCTGCCTCAGCCTTCTGAGTGGTGGCTTGTAATCCATATCCAGCTTAATTTTGTTTTCTGATATATAGAAATATTGGCAATGTTTGCAGAAATAGCTCTTAAGATAACCACTGAAACATTGCAAAGTCAGTTGAAATATTTTACTAAAATTAAAAAGAAAAAAATAATGGCAAGAGAGGTAGCTCAGTGGTATGGTGTATACTATGTATTAGGCACTAGGTTCAATTCCCCAGAACAAGAAGCAAACAAAACATACTACTTAGAAACAATTAAAAACAAAACAAAAAAACAAAACAAATTTTCTTTTTACATAATGAGAATCCATATTAGCTTATTATACAAAATGATATAAAATATGTTATATTGTTATTTTCTCATCAAATAGTTAAAAGTATTTTAAAAAGAAAAAAAAATCATAGCTAAGTATGGTTGATCAACAACTGCAAACCCTAGCACTTGGATGGCTAAGGCAGGATTAGCATCACATCAGAATGTAGAGACACAGTGAGTTCTAGTACCACCTGGTCTACAAAGTAAGACCTTGTCTCAAACACACACACACACACATATACCCATAAAAATTGCTTAGTCAACATTTACTCTCTGTTTGAGAGAACTTCTTACTTATTAATAATTTGTCAGTAAAGAAAAAAGTTAAATCTAGTTTTCAGTGACATTAATAGTTTGTAATCTAGGAAAAATGAAGCACAAAACTAAATATTATTAAAATTTTAAAATGTAAAGCCACAGATTATATTATTTCTTGATGAGGCTAACATAATACTAAGAATAAAATCACTATACTTGAAACTATCAAAATAAACAGGTGATCCCATGTGCCTCGTCTTTAACTACTCTGACTCCTAAGAACAAATGAAGGTCACCTGCAGTGCTGTCGGCTCCACTTCTACTGGATTTGTAGCTCAGCACTGAGGTCAACAGAAAAAGACTCTGTCACTTAAAAGGAAGGGAATGGCTTTACCTTAAACAGCCCATTGAAAAGGTCCAAGGACAGTGCTCTGTATCTCATTAGTTATATGTCTCTTTCTAAGTATGACATGTTGCAGTTACTATGGTGAGAAAGAGCTTCTGTAAATTAAAATATATCAACTTTAAAGTGAAATCAGGGAGCAACATTTTGGGTGAAAATTTGAGTTTTACTTCTTAGAGGTATATTGTCTCTGGCAACATAAACAAACTCTTGCTTTCATGTGACTTGACTACTTCATGCCTTCATCCAGGCTGTTTCATATTCCTGCTGCTTGTTCTTATAATCCCATATGATCTGTGGAAATCACATCTTTACAAAATATATTGCCTTTACTCAGAAAAATAGCTAACATACAAAAAAAAAAGCTAGGGTCTATAGTCCCTAGTTATAAAAATGCATCCACTCCTTGGTTCTATCATAATACTCCAGTGAAAATTATTAGAACAAAACATAGCCACTCACTCTTACTCACAGTCTCATAGTCTCTGGAGATGACCTAAGAACAAGCTGCAAACGAGACACTGTCTGTTTAGGAAAATCTATAAGATGATTCCATACAAGAGAGAGTGGGCTATTTCAACTCAGATTGTCCCTCCCTACCTTTCTTTCTCTGGAGAGTCCATTCCAGATGTTGCAATTACAATCACCTAGTTACAGCTTTGGATCTTCAGGGAGAGGGTGGATGCTAGATGGGTTCATTATCTGAGTGCAGTTTAGTATTTATTTACTTTATAATACTATTTATTTAATATTTCAGCTGTGAAGACCTCTGTTTGCCAACTTACTGGCGGAGGCTGTAGGCTCTGAATAAAAAGCTCTTTGGCTCCTGATACAGTGTTTCCATGCCAAGAGGCAGGTTAAGAGGACCCAAGGCCATAGGACCATTCCTGCCACTTACAGAGCTTGTAATCCTCTCCTCTCCAGAACTAATTCACACAGATAGCTCCTAATCTCTTACCATTTACAACAAAGGGTGGAGAGTCTTGACCCTAAAGGTGTGTTCAGAAACAATGGAGGTTGTCAAGAAAGGCACCTGGGAAGAAATCTGGAGAAACAAGGACGATACATAGCCTCAACTGTGCATTATCTAGTTTCCTCAAAAGAAGCAGGAAGACAATTGGAGAGGGAACCTCTGGGGTTAGAACAATATCAGTTGATTAGGGACCTTAGAAACTTTACCTTCCAAGAAGCCAGAATTTCATTGGCTTATTCAGCACAGCAATTTGTGCTACTAGGGAATTGTTCACAACAAAAGAGTGAACATGGCAATTAGTAGTTGAACACTTAACAGCTTACGGTGTGCGATCTGGGAAGGAGTGGATATGAGCCATATCAGAACCCATCTTCTCAAAGTGACTATGGGCACCCCCAAATCTAACCTGCTTAGTTCACTTCACATTTAAGTAGCAAAGAAAAAGCTGTAGAAGGCAGAGGGCAGTTCTGAAAGTTGCTATATCCATTATAAAGCATATAAACAAATAGAAAGTATTACCTAAACACCAGACTAAAAGCAGGGAGCAGACACTGCCTGTGTGAGTGACCAGATGCCAAATTAACAGAAAGATTTCAAAGTTACTGTCAAAGAATTTATTCAAAGAACTAAAGGACAGCAGTGAAGATGCTAAGAAAGAAAAAAAAATAAAATAAAGATGATATAATGAAGGTATATGACAACATGGCTCCAGGAAGAGTATCAGGAAAGCAATAAAAATTATAAAAAGCACCAAATGGGATCTTGGAAATAAAAAACTGGAGAGCTCAACAGTAGATATGAACTGGCAGAATAAAAATTAACTAATTTGAAGATAGAGCTATTGTTCAAACTAAAGGCAGAAAATTTAAACAACAACAACAGACCCTGTACATTTGTTGCTAGTTGGTCCACTGTACAAGAACACTAAAGGAAGCTCTCTTCAGCTGAAAACAACTGACCCCAGATGGTAATCTGAATCTACACAAAGAACATCAGTAAAGGTAATTATATAATAATAAAACACTCTAAATGCCCATTTTTGCCTCATTTTTTTCTCTTACCTAGTTTAAAAAGCAACTGATTTAATGTATACGAATGTACTTTTTGGTCTATAGTACCAAAATGTAATATCCTGCCAACAGCAGAACAAAAAAAGAGGATGAAAAAAGCCATTCAAGGTTAAGATGGTGACAGCAGATGGCAGAATAAAAATTGTAAGGATCGCCGGGCGTTGGTGGCTCACGCCTTTAATCCCAGCACTCGGGAGGCAGAGGCAGGCGGATCTCTGTGAGTTCGAGGCCAGCCTGGTCTCCAGAGCGAGTGCCAGGATAGGCTCCAAAGCTACACAGAGAAACCCTGTCTCAAAAAACAAAAAACAAAAACAAAAAAAAAAAAATTGTAAGGATGCATTGCTGGATTTGCATCATTAATTAGGTGTATCCAAACTGCAGAAAGGGGAGAAGCTTTCACACATGTGGGAGGACACCTATCTGCTGGAATGAAGCTGGGTAAATTTGCAGCCCACACAGGCAAACATTAGAAACTCAAATATTAGTGAGACTAAGATGTGTATCAGGAAGATGTTCAGTGTGTAATAAAGGGATTGAAAGAACAAAAGACATGTGATATACAGAAGGAAAGCAGCTCCAGAGTTCATAACCTAGCCATTGCTACAAACAAAAATGTCAACAGCACTTACTTTTCAAACCACAGAGTGAGGTTAGTAGTGTGTCGTATCATTTTCAGAAGGTTGGGAGAATTAATTTCTTTATCTTCTTTTGTCCACACACTTCCAACTAATTCTGACGGCTGCACAGCTCTAAAATCACCAACATAAAACGCCACATCACATTCCCTTTAGTATACTTGTTACATAACAAAACACTAAACTATTCTTATAAGTGTTCTTCTACCAACAGAAAGATGGTGAAAACAAGATAAATATTTACAATTTTTTTCTTTTATGTTTTCAGATTTAAAATATTTTGGTAGATACTTCTGCATAATGTTTTTCCTAGCATTTATAAATATTACTCAGGATGGTAATGCATTTAAATGTATTCTAATAAGTAACCAATGAGGGAACACAAGTACTAAAATTCATTTTTGGTTTGTTTTATTGGTGTTTGTATTTGCTTTTTTTGCTCTTAAAGTGGGTAGAAAAGAAAAACCATCCTGCAAAAAAAAAAAAATAGTGTTTGAAAATGAAATTTAAAATTATAACATTAACATTTGGAGATCATGATAACTTAGACAGGAGGATTTATAAATTTAGCTCCTTTCTCATTTAGTGATCAATACTTTTGAGAGTTTAAGTAGAATTTAAAATCAGAATAACGTTTTTCAGATAGTTTCATCGATGAACAATATTAAACTATAAAGGGCTATAACCTGCTGTGACTTAGCTTTACCACAGTAGTAGCTATCTGTGGTACTGTGGGGAAACGACAGCAGTAGTTCTGTGTCCTGTGTTGTGCTCAGCCTGTGCTATTCCTTGGGCATGCACTGGAAACCTCACAGTCCTACAAGTTAGTACAGACTTTGGCCTCACTTTTCTTTCAGGAAACTTAAGCCAACAACTGGTACTACTATGATTTGAGCTTACCAAGCAGGGCTAACTGCAGAAAGAGCACAAAGTTAAGTAGATCAAGGGTGATCAAGGGGGCAAATGGACCAGAACTGCTTGCTTGCCTTAGTGCTACAAATATATCATATTACTGTCTCATTGACATCTCAAGACAACCCTAAAAGGCAGAAAATGTCTTCCATTTTTAAGATGAACTCTTGAAATAACTTCTCAGCTTGAATGTTGAACAACATACCGGTATAGATCTGATTCAAGCAAAGTGAGTTGCCGAGCAATTTCTATTGGGTGTAAGGTGAGCAAGTCAAAAGTCTCTATGTGCCCAGGTCTGCTTATGTGCCACTCAACTGTGGGAGGTGAGCTCTGAAATGTAATATTAGGACCTGGGCCATTGTCTCTTGCAATTTTTTTCCTTTGGATTATCTTAGTGATGGATTCGACCCATTTTTTCATTGCTTTACCTGAAATACATTTTAACAAACATTTAAATACTCTTTAATACTTTATTTTTAAATATGTTTAAAGTAATACAAGTGATACACGAATAAATCATTGCTATAAAGTCAAATGTGCAAAGTAAATACTAAGAGTTCCCCTCCCCCATCTTCTCATCCTTCTCCAGATAGGTAACCATTGTTAATAATTTGGCATGTATCTAGACCTTTCCTAAATGAATGTAAAAGGTAATTTGATTTTTCACCTCCAACACTTTGAACCTTAGTTCAAAATACTATTTTTTATAATTCTTCCATACAAGGTATATTCCATACAAAGATTAATAAATTACACACATTCACAAGTCTAATTAATATTGTATTTTATAACCCATTTATGAGGACTGATCGATCATATTAGTCTTATTTGATGTGGCTGTCTTTTGTACTGTACAGGAAAGTAATCTATTTAATCCTTTATTTTCTGATTTTCCTTTAGACTGAACAATGGCTATAAAACCAAGTTTGTCTAGGGCACCCTTAAAGTCACACAGTCACAGAATTTTTAAAGTAAAGGAAACTTTGTGATAATCAACCCTAATTTCTTATGAATAAACTGAAGTCTAAAGAACCAAAATTATGTATCTGGCTAGTAGTGATGGTAGGTAGTAGTAGTCTGTCAGTGTAATATGCTACTTGTTCCATTTACCTAATCATATACCTTTATCAGTGGTGCTACAATGGTTAAAAAACATTCCACCATCTACTGTAGGTAGCACATAGTTTCAATTAAGTGGTCTAGCTTAAACTGACACCTAAAAGACCCAGTTCTAAAACAGATACAAAGTATACTGAGTCAGCAGGATCACTGCTGAGCAATTTACAAGTCTCAATAATGGTTTTTTGTTATTGTTTTGTTTTTTCAGACCTAGTATCACTACTGTAGTCCTGGCTGTCCTGAAACACACAGAGATCCACCTGCCTCTGCCTCCTCAGTGCTGGGATCAAAGGTGTGCACCACCATACCCAGCCAAAGTGATGTTTGATGAGAAAGTTTAACATTTTCAAATGAGCTATAATGTATCAATTGAGGGTAATCATATTGGTAATTTTATCACATATGCAAGTAGGAAATTAGAAACATACCTCTTACAGTTCCAATAAATTCCTCCATTCTTTGTAAAAGGTCTGCATCTCTTTCAAAGTCATAAAAATGGTGCTCCACCCAGTGCCGACACACATTTAACACTCTGTGGCATTAACACAACTGGATTACATGGGGTCTTACACTGAGTGTACACATGAAACAAGAGCAGCCCTTACCAATAAACAATCTACTAAAGCTGATAACTCAGAGAAGACTCTTAACTAACCCACTTGGTCTGCCTCCTTCACCTGACTTAGGACTTTAAATGCACATTGAGAAGCTGTGGTTTCTATGAGGCCACGCCCTCACTACTCACCGCAGCTGGACAGGCTGAATGTACTCCTTTCTAAACCTCTTCAGCTCTGCACTCAGTGGCTGATCTCCATTTTCTAGAGCTATTCGATCAGCTTCTGTTGGCTCAGGCTCCGGAATTTCAAATCTACCATGAAACAGAAAAAAAAAAAATTAATGAAAATATTGTATCAAATTCAGATTCACAAACTTTTATTTATACTTATCAGTATAATCAAGAGACTACTATAAAAATTACTACAGATATACAAGGCTTTTATAATGTAAAGGCTGATTACATTTTTTTAAAAAGAAGTTAATATTGCCAACAGAGTTAAAACTAACTAGAAGCAAAATAACAACACATATAAAGTCTAAAACAAATGGGACTAATGTTAATTTTTAGTCTGTAGATTACTCTAAGGGTAACTAGTGCTTGAAACTTGATTGCCCTTTGGATAGATGAAAAACATTTTCCTTGATAAAAGCATTTGCTCACTGACAAGATTCATTTTTATTCAATATGTAGTATATTTGAAAATTTGTTTAGAACTTGTGAAGCATTAAAATCTGAATTTCTAGTGTGTCATTATTTTAAAGGTGTGGTTTCACGTAGTTCAGGGTAGCCTTGCACTCCCTATGTAGAGTCAAAGATAACCATGAACTCTGATTCTGTTGCCTCTACCTCCCAAATTCTTGGATTATAGGCTTATGTTTAGCCTAGAGTCTAAATCATACATATTTATATATTATTTAGTTCTTTAAATTTGAGCTGGGAATACTGCTTAGATTGAACCAAAAGCCCATGGCTCAATCCCAGTGTAGCCCAAACCCTGAAAAGTTGTAATTTTAAATACTAAATAAATGAGAAAAAAAAGAGAGAGAGAGAAATCTATTTAAATAATCAAAATTAGCATGGTTTTGTAAACCCAGTAGTAGTTTTATCTTAAACTCAACTACAGTTACACTTATTGCAACATTTTTAGGAAATATGTAACTTAATCCTTTCCAAATCAAAGAATTCAGACATATAAAATGGACAGACCGTTCTATTATAAGATTCAGTAGTTCTTGAGGTTTGCAAAAGGATCTGTATGTTGTAAGAAATGTCCGAACAAAATTGGGATCTGAAAAGGAAAAGGAACAGTATTAAAGTCTCAGGTAAACAATGATTAAAACTATTATTTTCAGTTTCAAAAGAGATCAAAGACTCAGTCTCAAAAGCGCCCAGATATTGCGAGGTGTTGGTGGCGTACGCCTTTAATCCCAGCATTCAGGAGGCAGAGGCAAGAGGATTTCTGTGGCTGTGATGACAGCCTGATCTACAGAGTGAGTTGCAGGACAGGCTCCAAAGCTACACAGAGAAACCCTTTCTTGAAAAAAACAAAATCAAAGCAAAACAAACAAACAAAAAATGCCCACATGTTTTACCCATATATGGCTTTGAACTTTAATGTATTGATACCTTTGGTGCCTCCTAAAGCAGTGGCTTTAGAAAAACAAAAACAAAACAAAACAAAACACTGATTGTAAAATATGATCAGCTGATTTCTTTTCCTGTCTCAAATTTATCATTGGCAAAGGAATGTGCAATGGAAAAAAGCAAGGACAGGGACTTGAACCAGGTTCCCTTTTGCTGCTAGGATCTCAATGTGTCACCTGTTGGGTCACCTACCTAGTAGAGATAGCAGTAACAATAGCCTGTCCATTTCCTGACATCACTTTAATTAACTATGTTTCCTAACTTCCGGTAAATCATGTTAACAGAGCAAAGAACTAGAAACAGAATCTTACAGAGTAGTAGGGTTAGCTAAGTAGTTAATGGTTTTGATTGCCAGAGGCCTTATTTTTAACTGCTAAAAAAGGGTCAAACCCCTCTAAGCTATAAAAAAGACACGAGATGGCTCAGTAGGTAAACGTCCTTTGCCATACAAGCTTGGGGTCATCGCATCCCAAAAGCTGTCCACTCACACACACACACACACACACACACACACACACACACTGCTTGTGCCACACTCATGAACATGTGTGAACAGAGATCTTGTTTTTACTCTTTCTAAGCCTGTCATTTGAAGTAGTTACAATAAAAGTTCAAAGTTCAGTCGTAATAGCAGGAGGCTGCAACCTCTTCTTCAAAGGTCCACTGTGCATGCACATCTCCATGGGGTAGAATGGAGGTCATCGAGTCTCGTCACCCTCCTAGGCTTGCCTCCTCCAATCTCTCCTTGATAGCACTCTCCCAGGTTAGGAGAATGGTAAAGATGCAGGCCACTGTTCTGGGCATAAAGAAGGCAAAGGCCCTTTCTCAACATTCACTCTCTAGGTGCAGAGGCAGAGGCAGAGGCAGAGGCAGAGGCAGAGGCAGAGGCAGGCATCTCTCTGGGAGTTTGAAGCCAGCCAGAGATATACATAGTAAGACAATCTCAAAAAACCTACCCATACTTAGTCCTGAGTCTTTAAAATGAAGGGAGAACATCAGTTAACATTACAGACACGGGTAAATTCTGATCATAAATTCACCATTGGCAGTAAATACCTATACCTTATTGATTATTTTATAACAAGTCTTTTATTACGAGGTATAGTGAAATTAGTATATATTTAGAAAAGTTTTACTTAAGTTGATTCTAAGAAGCACCCTAAATTTAGCCTTAAAATATCACAGTAACTTTTTACCTAAAACTCAAGTTCATAAATTTGACAAGATAGAACTCTGATCTAATCTGTTGGTATACACTATCATCAAGATAATAAACTGACTTAACTATCAAACAGCCCTGAGTTGAAAACATTTCATTTTTTTTCAATTTGAAGAAAAAATTATAGAACAAAAGGATATTATTGTGGGAGTCTTTTGCTTTGAGGCAGGACCTAGCTAGATATCCAGGCTGGATGGCCTTCAACTCACAATCTTCTTGTTTTAGTCTCCCAAATGCTGGGATTACAGGTATGTGTGACCACACCTCCAGCTAATAAATTCTTTGGTTTTATTTAGTGTTCCTTCCTTTAGTTTATCTCCTAAAGCTAGAATGGGTTGCTGATAAAAGTAATTTTAAATACATAAAATCTTTTAATAATTTCCTTTCTGTTGGTATTGTCTTCAGTTACAGAGATCCTCAGTTAAAGACTAATGTCTCATCCAGAAGAAAAGATTTAAAAACAGAAGGCTGTACGAGATTTTAAAACTGAGATATTTATCGGTTCCATCACAACCCTCCCTTTCAAGAACCTTCTTCCTGTTCTGCAAATCTATTTGTAAGGTGAGGCTTCTCAAAATAGCATGTGTTCAGGAAGCAACAGCGACAGCCACAGTTGAGATGCTTGGCTGTCCCTGCTGGAGAGAGCCGTGTATCCTAGATGAGGCCTTTGAGCCTCTCTGGCTGTGTTCTGCATTGAGAGTGTGGACCCACTCCTCAAAACACAGGTTTATTTCAGGCTGATGATCTAACATCCACATTCAGAACCATTTCTTCTCAAATGCCACCCAACATCAGGCTAAAATCTGTGGCTTCAGACAGAAGAGAGCAAGTGCTAAGTGAATTAAAATGTTTTAAGAAAAGCATGGCTATTTTTTAAAGTGGGGTCTTCATCACCTTAGGCCAAATCTATTTTAGCCATATCTTTACTTTAGTAACCAATGATAATATTGGGAAAGGCATGCTGTGCCTCCATGCCACATCAGTTCCGGATGCCCATATGTACAGCCCCAAGAGAGTGCCCACCTACATTTGTGTCTTACAGTTTCTGGGAGGTGAGTAGGTCAGGAGAACTATAGAAGAGAAACTGTGATCCCTGCTCTGGTGCTCATTTCTCCTAAGCCAGACACCTCCCCAGATCAAAGGATTCCCATAAGCCTTACCTAGCTGTGAGATCTAAAAATACAGAATTTACCAACCAATTATAGTGTCAGCATAGAAGTTCACATAAATGATCAGATAGGTTGCTGTCTTAAATGAGGAGTCCAGACAGGAGTAGCAGATGCCCTTCCTAGGACACTGTTCAGAGAGGGGCTTCTGGTGCTGGCAGGTGGAGTAAATACCCCGCAGTAACCACCGCTTTAGTGTGCTCTTATGTGACTGAAACTTAAGTTTGTTCTTATCTTGGCTGGAAGCTGAAAGCAGCCTTGCCAAAAAGGGAGGGTGGGGTGTATGTGGAAGAACTAAAATACTCCAGGAAAACTGGCAAAAGCTTAAGTACTAAAAACAAAAACTAAAAGCTACCCATATTCCCCTGCTGATTTTAATACACATACACACTTTTATCTAAAGCAATGAAAAATTCCTAATGAACAACGAACTTGTTTTGAGAGGATTTACCTGCATTTTTTTTTTTTTTTTTTTTCCTGGAGACAGGGTTTCTCTTTATTGTTTTGGAGGCTGTCCTGGAACTCTGTAGACCAGGCTAGCCTCAAACTCAATTTACCTGTATTTTGAAGTTTTATACAGAAAAGCTATATATACACATTCCAGAAGCTATTTTTGTTTCTGTTGCATTGATTTCTCCATGATTCAAACATGTACTATGCCACATCAATCTTAGGAGACCTTTATGATAATGCAAAGACTAAGTTAATCTGATATAAAAAACCCTGAGCAATAAGGGCAGATTATAAAACTTTATAAGAAAATAAAGCACCTCCTTCCATGCTTTGATAAGGCAATGATAAGAATTAATACTCTGCTGTTTGCTTGTGCCACAGTTATGTACCTCCTCATATTCTGCAACAATGTTTCAGAAACAGGAGACAAACACAAAAATAACAATGTCAGGCAGAGTTTGGCTTTAAGGTACAAGCACAAGAAATACTAATAGAAAAGTAGCGCAATTTGATATTGTCTTCCAGTGTGTAAACAAAGATTACTCTACAGACATGTTACTCAGACATAGCCCCCTACCAGAGAGAACATTCTTCTTACTTTTTTTCCTGCCATGTTCATAGCTTCTCTGCCTCCTCCTCTCCATACCTTCTTTATACAAATACGGCATAGGTCCACGTTTCTTCAACTATAAGCTGTGGTTATTTTTGTTTTTTGTTTTGTTTTCTGAGATGGGGTCTCATGGATCTCAGGTTGACCCAGAACTTACTATGTACTGAGGATGACTTTGAACATCTAAACTTCCTGCCTCTCCCTCCTGAGTGCTACAGGCAGAGATGACAGGCATGTGCCAACATCAGTTTATGAGGTGCATGCCATGCTGGAGACTGAACCCACAGCTTCATGCATGCTAGGCAAGCATTCAAACAACTGAGCTACATCCCCAGACCATGGTTACTATTTTTTGCTGGCCTTCTAGCTGGACAAATCTTTGTTATTTGGTGTACAATTTTTCAAAATCATCTGAACTTCAAGTATTATCTATGTGTTCAGAATATAGCATATTAGATTTTAAGTCATCAATCCTCCTCCTGTCTCTAACACTTGACATTTAGTAATGGCAAGGTCATAAGATTTATGAAATATTTAGTATATTATACATCTATTTATGAAGAACACCCTTCCCCCATCCACCATAGTGGAACACTGTTAATCAGGATGTCTGCACATGTGATAATACTCCCTTTTAATACAGCCATTTAAAACCTCAAGAAACAATAAGCTCCTCAGCAAGGACTTATAAACAATCACTTTTGAATTCCTTAAAAAAAGGAAACAGACGCTATGCTGACGCACAAACACTTAAAAAAATCAGGGTTTAAAAATAGAAGAGCACTGCCCTATAGATCAAAAATTGTTCAGAGGCTTTAAAAGTTAAACACCTAAACTGAACTTATGCAAGATACAGACTCAAATCTAATGCAGAATTCTGAACATATGATATGTGAGTGCCAAGATAGCAGTAAGTACATCAAAGAAAAAGACCTTAAGTTTTCTCAATTTTGTCTTCTGCAAAAGGAGTTGACCACATAAAGGAAACAGTTTCCCACCCTTTAATGTGTTCTGGATTATTATTATCCTGGCCTCAGTGTCATCCCATTTTCTATCATACATGGTCAGACTAACAGACTACCACCAACCATTTTTGTACCGGTGTTGCTTTATCTCATAATTAGTTGCATTGCATTGTCTACAGCAGCTCTATGGTATGAACTTCCTGCTTTCCTTTCCCTTGTGACACTGCTTTGTGATTACTCTAGGGTAAGGAAACTGTCTCTCTGTATCACTGCCAAATGTAAAATAATCCACCCAACTGAGTAGGTTTCCTTCCAGAACCCACGATGAATTCCTATGTCCAGAGACACTGGGGATGAAACAAAAGCTATAAATTAGGTTCTATATCAGACTATCATCATTCATGTATGTCACCCACATTTTAACTCACCTAAGATATAAAAGTCTTTTCCCAGAAAGCTTTCCATTTACAGAACCAGTTATTCTGATAGCCCAATGGCTAAGCTTTGTCAGGAAAAAACCTGGGGCCAACACCTGTAACCAATCCCAGCACTCAGGGGGGCTGATGAACTTAACGCCAGTCTGGCTACCTATACTCCCTCAAGAACATAGAAAAGTAAATGAAATGACGGGGCTAAGGGTACAGACTAGTGATGGAATAGTTTTCATGCCCAGAAGTAAGAGATGGCAGGATCTAACTGCAGGCAAATTCATAATACTCACAACTTGTTACCTATTTCAATGAAAACAAAACTGTACCTCTTCATAGTATACCTGTATTTGCCCCAAATGAATAACTATCATGAGTAATTAAAACTCCATTTGTTTCTATTATTAATCATGTGTAACTTTTAAATGCATGTTAAAGTAACTTTTAGAAACTCAGTTTGAAAGTGTGTCATGGACATATATTCGGCTGATAAAGGAATTAATTTCTAGGCTTCATTCTGTAATAGATTTCTAGCAAATTAAACAACCCTTAGGAGTCTTGGGCTTCTGTTTATAAACTGATGGTATGGACAGCTCCTGGCACTTCAGGCGGATAGCCCTCATTTGTAATTTATTGTTGTAACATTTGAGAAATCAAGTTAGCTGAAGCCAACTTAAACCTGACTTAATCTTCTGTAAGCCAGTTTTCTCTTTTGTTTTTCAGTATGTCTGAGCAACTTATAATAATCCAGATGATGTCTAAGTGCTGTTACATCGTTAAATTTCCTCATGTATTATATACAGTGCCTTTCACTATATAATAAAAAAGTGAGTTACTAATTTTAACTTTTGTTTCAGTGTAGCAACACCTGTACTTCATGTTCTCCAACAAAAACACCTAATAACCAACTAACCAAATCAAAAAGCCTTTTTTTTTTTTTTTTTAATTTGGGAAGACTGAATAAAAGGAAAAATACCAGACTTAATGTTTACATCAAGACAAGTGATAACTATATCTTCTGTCATTGTAGAGAGAACTTATTATACATTCAGCTGGAGGAGACCTTACAATACTGCTTTTCTGTCTTACAAATCCCTGAATGACTATCAAAAGCACATTCTATACTGACCATAGTACATAAAAAATGAACTCTATAGAGTAGTTGGTCTATTAAAAAAATTCTATACTGCAAGTAAAAACTTCAGTAAACAGACATCAAAGAGTGGCTAGTAAACTAATAATTAATAGAAATTTCATGTACTTCAAGCTCAGAACTCATCAAAGTTTCTGGTGGGTTCTAGTTATACCGGTCACATATTATGAACCAAAACATTCAATTAAATTTTAGAACAGGGCAAAAAATGTCAAAAAGCATAGTTATAACATACTTTTTTAAAAAAAATACTGGATTTAAATTTTTTTAACTTTAAAAAGTGAAACAGAAACTGGAGAGAGAACTCCAAGGTTGAAAGCACTGGCTGTTCTTCCAGAGGACCTGGGTTTGATTCCTAACCAAGTCCTATCTATAACTCCAGTCCCAGGGGATCTGACACTTTCTGGACTTCACCAGCACTACCCATACATGCTGTATAGACATACACATAAAACTTAAAACAATACTTTAAAGAAGTAAAATAATCTCATTAGGTTAAATTTCAGTAAACTTAACTTCATCAAAATTGTATAAAGTTATAAATTTAAGTGTTATATTAAGAAAGACCATAGAAAACATTATGTAAAAGCTATAAGCTGACAATAGTCATCAGATATATATGATTCTATCATGGTAAAAATAGACTTTAGTAGCATTGTACACATAAGGAATGAAAGTTGCTGGACCAAACGAAACCCATTAGCTTACAGAAATATGCTTAAAAGTATACTCATTCAAAATAAAAAAAAAAAAGATTTGTCAAAATAAAAGACATAATTTTTCAGAAAACAAATATTTATTATAGTTTATAACTGCTAGAAATCAATTCTGTTAAATGCATCAGTTAAAAATGTACAGAAATGTTTTAAAAACAGATTGTAGATTTCAGAATATAGAAATCAGTAACAACTGACTTTTGCTAGAAAAAAGAACAGCTTGCTTTACTGGGTCTTCAGTGATCACTGACTGCTGTAGGGAAAATTAAACTGTCCTTAATAACCACATGTACATAGTCTAAGAATACCACCTCTCAAAAGCTACTCAGGGACACAGGATAGTCCCCTTGACACTGCAGTATTACCACTCAATTCAAATGTTGATTTTTCACTGTGACTTATATAGTGTTTGCTTTGTCCTTTTCTTAAAAGACAAACAAACAAACAGGATTGAGGGTAAAATGAATAGGTTTTAAATTCACAAGGATTTAAAAACAAAGACAATGGGGCAAGATAAACAACTTGAACTTTTGTTGTCAAAAAATTAAAGAGTATTTTAAATCCAAAAATCTTGGGTTAACAAAGTATTTTTAAAATTTTATAATTTGGTTGTTGTTGATTGTTTCCTTTGCTTTTTACTTTTCTTGAGACAGGGTTTCTCTGTGTAGCCCTGGATGTCCTGGAACTCGCTCTGTAGACCAGGCTGGCCTGGAACTCACTGGGATCCCCCTGCCTCTGCCTCCTGAGCACTAGGACTAAAGGGGTGCACCACCACTGCCTGGCTATAATTTTAAACAGTATACAGAAGGTTGATGAAGATCAAGTAAATAGATAGGTCGTAATAATTACTGAAAACTGTAACTCTTAAAACAGCTTTATATATGTAGAAAGAGAGGTAACCTATTTATCTTTTATATAACTACAGAGCAACTTAAATTTTTTTTAATATTTTTTTTAAATTTCTGAGTAACAAACACTGCGTATAGAAGTGTCTAGGAGACAATTTATAGTAAAACTGGAACCCCAGGTGAGGCTTCTCTTAACATTCAGCACCTACCACTGGATAATACACGTTCAGAGAAGCCAAAGCATGGCAAAACTCACCTTTGGTAAATGCTATCCATTTACTATGGAAAAGGCCTCAAAGATTTACCTGTTAAGAGTCCAAATAACTGAAAGCAAAACTAAACTCTAGCTTATCTATCCCAGAGATATGTGGATAATGGCATATATTATTTTATAAAGTGGTTTGAGAACACTCATAAAAATACTACTCAAATTTAATTTCTCACTCTTTGGTAGTTCTCAGCCATATTGAGTTCTGCTTGTATATTGGATAAATTGAATAGAAAAGCCTTGTTAAATGCTATTCAGTTTTCCTTAAGTGAATAAACAAATTAATATTTTAAAAGGCTAATCTTACTAGCACCAGGACACCTTCCAAAGGAAACAGCGGACCCACTTATAGAACTTAAAAAAAAAAAAGGGAAAATATTTTTCTCAGAAGCATACATTTCCTAAAAATAGGAATATATTTAAGTGAGAAATATGGGAATAGAGGTTAATTTTCACATTCAGGTATTTAAAAATACCATATTATGAATTATACTGATTTTAAATCACACATGTCTTTTAAAGAAAATTTACATTTATATTTAAATAGCTTTCACATTCAGTATTTCATTTATGCTTTTTTTACACTAAGGTAGCTATTTGGATGTTAATTTTTGAGATGAGAATCTGTGGTTCTGAGACATGAAGAGACAGAGTGTGAGTTCAGTGCTGTCTACTCCACCACAGTGCTAAGATGTGACAGTGATCAGACGCCCCACTGTGCCAGATCATATAAAACGACTCACATATGCCCCTTACCTCTCAGCCACTCTATGTAATCTTGCCTAGCATCTTTCTAGGTTGTTCAGACTGGTCTGTCTTTAAAACCTGCTAAGATAAAACTGCATAAATAACACTAAGAACAAAATACTAAAATTGGTTTCCAGATTTCCTTAATATATATAGGAATGGAGACTAAGAAAAGGCAATACTGTATATATTTTTTGCAACTAGCACAATTTTGATGATGGGTGAATATTTAAAATTCCACATAGTTTGTAACTCAGTTATAGAATAAGAAAAGCAGTACACAGGGGCAGAAACTTTGATACACTAACATTGATAATTCATCCTGTTCCTACTGCTTTTTACCAGGTAACTTTTTTCTTTCTAACTATGATTCTAGGCTTAAAATGATGGATGCAAATATGGTAGAAGTAGTAAAGACTTCAAAGAAATAGGGTGATGGTTTAGTCAAAGCTTCTCTATCGGAAGTCTTGGCCTTTTGTGAGTTTTCTATTGAGGCATAATAAACCAGTCAGCTTGAGCAGAGAAAGACAATAAAAGCTATTTCATGTTTCTTACCTGCGTACATATGGTATGTAAGCCTCTCGATCAGCTTAATCACAGTCCCTGCTTTGATAATTGGAATCCCAGCCTTGGGCTGCACGTTCTCTTCAAACAGAATATTCTCCTCAGAGTCTGGCTCTGCAAACCTGTACACATCAGCACTAGGCAGCCTCATCTGCTCCTCCTTCTCTTCCTGAAGCATCGTTACATCGAGCATTCGCTCCAGGGTACTCCGGTACTGCAAAGATATCAGTGCTGCCATCCAGTTGTTTTTCTCTTCAGCTGACTTGGCAGAAAATATAACACTATTTCCATCTTTCAGAATTATTTCAAAAGCATGCTTGTATTCACTGGTGTCATCTTTATCATTAATTTGTACCTTTCGCATAAAAAACTTTTCTTTAAGACGATATTCTGCATTGCTAGCACCAGGAAGTCTCGGCTGCCCATGATTTGATTTACAGCAAATCATTAAGCCATCGAAGAGAAATATGTGTCTCTCATGCTTGGCTCCTACACGTGTAAGAGTTCCTTCCATTATGAACTCATTGCAACACTGTCCAATGTCTTTCCCCTCCCAACCATCAATATTCTTCTGAATCTCGTTCATTTTCTTGATTGCTAGTTGTTTCCCCTTCATTTGCTGGCTATAAAATCGACATGCAGACTCACTGGGTAAAGGAAGAGACACTATTAGTACAGAGACAGAATTTACAGTTCATGCAGATAAGGTGGCAGGGCAAACTAGAACTTTAAACATCACTGACATGTGCTTACTAATTCCCTAAATATATGTAATTATACAACTCTAGAAATTAAAATAGCACAGAAATATTTTCAGAGTTATAAAAAGAACAGTGATATTCAACTATATAGATTCACGTACAAAATGATTATTTCTGCCTGAGTACTAAATATTTAGAAAGACAGATCAAAAAGTAGCCCAATACAGTTAAAAAAAAAGTCCTAAGAGATGAAAGTAAATTCTAAGTATTTTTAAAGGAACAAGACCCAACGATAAAAGCAGACAGCACATTATAATTAGGAAAGTGGAAGGTCTGCTTTCTGAATTAATGTCTCAAGTTATATAATCACTAAACTAAAGAACACTTCTAATTTGACTTTGACATAACAATGTCGCTGGTGTAAATCTACCCGGTACATTTTGCTCTGTCTCCTTCAGCTCACCCGCTGCTCCTCAGGAGGTCTTGTCTGGGAGTATGCAGGGAAAATGCACAAATATGAAAGGTTTTTCAAACAATAACAAATTCTCCTGGCTTTGATGTCACTTCCTCTGAAAGACCAAGCTTGTCACTAACATCTTTTTCTTCATTGTTTACTTAAGGAGGGAGCTAAGGCCCCTGAATTTATACCACAGCTTCAGGGTAGAAACAAAGAGACTTTAGAATAAGAACAGTCACCTCAGTCTTCGCTTCGCAAGACTTTTGGAGCATATTTTTTCCATGCCACTTTGGACATTAAGCAGAGCTGTTATTGCTTGTTTCACACATTCCTTGTCTTCTTGATCTTCGCTCTTTTCTTCTAACTGCTGTTTAGTCAAAAGGGCAAAACAATAACCTCACTTTATTTAAGGATAAAATTAACATTCACTCAACCTTTTCAACTTCAGTAATTTTAAGGACTCTATAAATGCAACTTTTTTGATTTTGTGTGTATGAGTGTTTTGCCTGCATATATTAACATGTGCTATATGCATGCTTCATGCCCACAAAGGTCAGAAGAAAATGTCAGATCTTCTAATACTGGAGTTGCAGGTGGTAGTAACCCAACATGTGGGTGCTGGGAATTGAATTTGTGTCCTCTGCAAGAGCAACAAGTGTTCCCAACAATTGAGCCATCTCCCCAGCCTCTAGCTTTATTTTTGAAGTGTTTTTCTAGCTGGTATTATGTTTACCTAGCACACATAAAGCACCGAGTTCTAGTCTCTGACACTGTGCTATCAGGACTCAGCAGGCAGAGGCAGCCTCAGATACCTGAGAAGCTGTCCCTGAAGAAAAAAGCAGTTCTTATTGTTGTTTTTGCAAGGTTTGGCAGCACTCGCATGTAATTCTAGCTCTTGGAGTCTGAGGTCGGCCTGAGCTCAGAATATGTCTCGTTACTATCTGTTACCAGGTTCTCTCTGTGAAAGAAATGTATGCATTCATCATTCAAGGTCCTGAAAACAAACAGCACAGACTGCTTCTAAACCCAGAGGACTTAGCATGACAACAGGCACAGAGCTATCCCCCAACACACCCTAAGACAGAGTTTCTCTGTGTAGCCCTGGCTGTTCTACAAGTCACTCTACACCAGGCTGGCCTAGAACCCAGAGATCCACCTGCCTCTGCCTCCCCGGTACTGGGATTAAAGGTGTGCGCCACTACCGCCTGGCACACAGAGATAATTTAAGTGAAGAATAAAAAAATAAAGTTCAGGGCCAGCCAGATCATTCAGCAAGTCAAGCTGCTGCCAAACCTGATGACCTCCATTCAATCCCAAGGACCCACAAGGTAGGAGGAGAAAACCTTAGGTTGTTCTCTGGCCTCCAAAAAATGCTCCCAATTTCCTTCTGTTCACCCCCCGACACACACACACACACAAATAATTGAATAAATGGAAAAAAAGGTCTTTAAAAATGTAAAGTCCAGAGACAGTCAAGTCAGTAGCACACAGAACAAGATTTGACCATTAGGCAGAATATTGTCCCCTCTGTATTTTGTCCTGATTATAGATATATTTTTAATTGTGTGCCTGGGGGAGGGGAGTGGGACGGGTAGAGACTTATACACGTGAGTGCAGTGCCCTCAGAGGTCAGATGAAGGTGCTGGAGGTACAGGCGTTTCTGAACCACCCTACATGGATGTTGGGATCCAAACTCTTGTCCTCTGGAAAAGCAGCAAGTGCTCTAATCTACTGAGCCATCTTTCCAGGTCCTGGACTTGGTATTTTTTATTACCAATTCAGCAAATATATTCATTTGTACAAAATTCTAATATAAAGCTATATACAAGAAATACCTATTTAGAGATCATTTGATTTTCTATTCAAAAAATGTTTCATGTTTCAGAATCTTTTATGAACCATTTGACTTGCACTTTGCATATGGAATATATTGGCATATGAAAAATACTGGCTTGTGTTATTATTTTATGTGTATGGGTGTTTGCCTGCATGTACGTGTACCATGTCCCTTGGAGACCAGAAAAGGATGTTATACCCCCTGGAACTGGAGTTACAGACAGTTAAGCACCTGGCATGTGGGCACTGGGAACTGGAACCACATCCTCTGGAAGAACAAAGGCTCTTAACCATTGAGTCATCTCGCTGTACTATTAGCATTTTTAAAAACCAAAAACCTAACAATTTTCCCCCTTTTTCTTCCTTTCCTTTTTTTCTGAGAGATGGTCTTTTGTGTGCCTTCAGCTGGCCTTGAACTCTCAATCCTCCTGCCTCCGCTTTCCAAGTGCTGGGATTACAGGTTTGTGACACTATGTCTGGTTTATACAGTGCTGGGGATGGAACCCAGTGCTAGAAAAGCACTATACCAACGCAGCTACATCCCCAGCCACAAAGCGTTTTTGAACCATAAAGTTTTCTGAGGAAATACTTTTAAATGATATTTTTGCCTTCAGAGTTAACAGGCAAGCACCCAACATTTCAGTATAATAAAGACTGGGTTTTGTTGTTGTTGTTGTTGTTGTTTGTTTTGTCTTGTTTTTTTGAGAAATCTCACTATGTTGATTAGGGTAGTCTCAAACTCACAGAGAATTTATATGCCTGCCTCCCAAATGCTGGGATTAAAAGTGTATGGTAACCACACCCAACTAATAAAGACCTTTCTGTATGTGTATTATTTTCTTTTTATTTAAGTTGATTTAAGCTGGGAAATGATGCAAAAGAATTGAAGCTAATTATCCTCAAAGAGGTAGCTTACTGTTGCCATAGAAACAAAGCAGTAACAATTCATACATAAATGACAACAAAGAAGCATTTTCTTTTTTATTGTCCATGGATGGCTGTTATTAACACTGCAAACTTACCTATTAAGTGCACCCTCTCTAGGATTATATCACACATACACTGAATGTCATCTAAGGAATCATATTCTAAAGTATAATGAAAATGTGTACTGTATGTCCTACACAGATAATAAGCTTTATCCTTTCACAGGAAAGGAGCCGCTTATACCCTAGCTTACTTTCTGGTTCCTCAGAAAGAAGCAGTGAGGAAGCCAGGAGTAGTGGCAGAAGGATCCCCACAACTTTAAGGCTAGCTGGAAGAGTGAGCGTTATGCCAGCCTGGGCTACAGAGTAAGGCTTGTTTAACAGAAAGAAGCAAAGGCAAAGTGGTTATCGTGGTATACTGCATGTACAATGGAGCTCCCAGGAAATTCTAAGAAACAGATGGTATAAAAGAGCTGTCAAAGGAAAGTGATAAGCCTGGTAATAGTGGTGCATGTCTTTAATCCCAGCACTCAGAAGGCAGAGGCAGGCAGATCTCTGTGAGTTCCAGACTGCCTGGTCTACAGAGTGAGTTCCAGGACAGCCAGGGCCACACTGAGAAACCCTGTCTCAAAAAACAAAAATGATATTTACAGAAATATTCTGAAGAATAAAATTTGATTATTTTAACACAAAATAGATTGTAAATGGTACTTGAGGCTCTTGGTTTTGTGGTAAGGGGGCCTGAACCCAGGACCTCATGCATAGTAGGCAAGCAGTCTACTACTGAACTACACCCCTTTCCCCACCTCCATCCAGTTCAGTTTATCAGTAAACAGAATAGCTAGAATGGCTTCCCTTTTAAAAAGGAGCAAATGAATTAATGATTTTATTTCTAGAAACTATTTTTCATCAACATAATATAAAATGAATACCATCTACTCAAACAAATAGGCAGGCTCATGACTGTTCATGACTGTCAGTCCAAAGCCCTCTTCACTAATGTACCCACTTAACTGAAATGCCATGAAAAACCTATTTAGAACTAGGGTTTAATCAAATGAGGTCATGCTAGATTATGACTGAACCCTTATTCACTAGCCTGGAGACTTTGTATTAATGAAAGGGAGGCCTGGATGCTGACACACCAGCATCAGGAAGTGATGAACCTGAGGCAGATGGAGGCAAAGCCTAGAGTGAGGCTACCTGTGAGGTCAGGGGAACCCTAGATGGCTGCCTCCTCAGAGCCAAGAGAGGACTCTTCCCTAGACCCTTCCAAGATACAGCCTTGACAACCCCAGATTTCTGCCTCCAGAGTAAAAAGAATAAGCTACTATTGTTTTCAGCCACCAAGTTTATATTCTGCTATGGCAGCTTTAGAAGATATTAATATATACATACTACATATACATGCATACATTCATATATACATACACAGATACACACATCTATATATCTATATCAGACTTTAACTTGATTCAAAACTGAAAGAAACTTACTTTCCCTTAAATTACATGGATATTGCAAAGAGAACAGGGGAATTGCCAGGATATTGTTTAATTATTTTGTTGAACAAATCTGTTAATATTCAGAATCTTGGTTATTATATTTAGTCCTAACAATCTAGTCTAACTTTGTTTAATAAAGCAAACATAACTTCATATACAAGAATCATGTTATGGGAGCAGATGGTTTCACAAGTGCAGAAGGAAGTCTTTACTTTGTAAAATGTCAACTTTAATGCCTCTAACTCATCAACAGGTCTAAGGACTGTCCAATTTGGTGGAAATAATGTTTTGATTTTGAGTAGTATTAAAATTAGTAAAAATTTAGGCCACAAAGATGGCTCAGTGATTAAGAGGACATTCTTCAAGACAACCAAAGTTTAATTTCTAGCACCCACTCCAGGTTTACAATTGCCTGTGATTGAAGGTCCAGGGGGTTTAAAACTCTAGTGTGAGGGCATCTGCACTCACAGCACATACAGAGACATACACACAAACACAGTCACACATGCACTCACAGACACTTACATACACATGATCAAAAATAAAAGCTTAATTTTTAATTGAAAAAAATTTACTTTTTAATTGGCAAGTAAAAATTTACTTTTTAATTGGCAAGTAAAAATTGTATATATTTATAGTATACAACATGGTGCTTGATAAAATGTTTAACAATATGTACTGCCAAATATCACTTTTCTCCACTATAAATTCTTAAAATCTATTCTCAGCAATTTTCAAAACTATACAATATTATTATTTGCTGTAATTACCACAATGTACACAACTCTCTCATTTATGTACTTTTCATTTTGAAGTAAGATCTTACTTTGTAGCCAAGGCTAGCCTCACATCCTTGTTTTAGGCCCTGGATGCTGGAAGCATGTGCTACACTAGGCTAAAATAGATTTCTTGAATTTATTCCTCCTGTCATGAGAAAAAGACTCAATCCAGTGAGGAATTCACCCTAGCACTCAGAGAGACAGGAGGTCTCTGTTAGTGTGGACTGGTCCTAGCTAATACTTAAGGGGGTCCTGTCCCAATTACAATTTCCCTCAGCTTTTAGAGTGGGCTAAGTATAATGTTGTAATCTTATTATGCATCCATCTAGAGGTAATCTGTAGGTTCCCACCCCAAGCCATACTTTCTGAGTTCACAGAGGAATTGTAGTCTCGTCATCACAAGCAAATAGGACCTGAGCTGGTAACCATGGTCATTTTATTCAAGGAATGTGACAAAATTTTTCTGATTGAGAAGGGCTTTAAAGAGCAGGTTTACACAAATGCAAACTCTAATGAGGTCAGAGGTCTATTTCCTTCGTCTCCCTCCATTATCGAGGCAACATGTGTTAGTATGCTAATAGAAATTAGGCAGAGCCCCTTAGCTTAACCTGAAAGCAGTTCTATGTGATTCAATACTTCCTGAATAAGCTTATTAAATTCATTTTAATCATATTCCAATTAACCCTAATTCTTTCTTTCTTCACTCCTAATTGAAATTTTATATCCATTGACAAACAGCTTCCTAATACCCCCCCCAACCTCTAGGAACTACCATATTACTCTATTTCTGAGTCTGACAGTATTATACTTATAGCAGCAAAATTTTACCCTATGAATTTATAAAGTTTAAGGCATTCTAAGTTCCCCAAATAAACATGTATACATAAAATTTACAATTAAACTTCTCTTAAAATACAACACAACACATTGATAGGAAATCTGAGATTTAAATGTCAGGTACTATATATGCTAGGCATGAGAACTCAAAGGCATATAGGCTTTGTTCCATTTCCTCAGGGGTCATACTGTGTGAAGATGTGGCAGGCAATAAAACCATGACAAGTTCTATAAAGAAGCTTAGTGGAAAGAGAAGCCCAGGAACAAGGGATGTTCTGTAGGGAGCCGATTAAAACAGGGAAGTTAGAGAAAAAGGAATGCCTCCAGGCCAGTGGGGAGCCACGGGAAAACCAGTGCTGCCCTGCACTGAACTGGAATGTCCTGGGCAGCTGAAGCTCATGGGCAGCACTAACCCTGAGACGAATTTAAGAGCTAGCAAGCAGTGAAGCTCAAGAATTCAGACTTCCTGTTGCAGGTGCCAGGGAACCAACTGTACCTTTCCATCTGAGAGTTCAAAGAAGCACAAAGACCATATAAGGATGGTGTTATTGTGTCTATTCAAGGGATATGAAGATGATGTCACTATAAATGGACACGCTGCCGAAGAAAGATTCAATTCTGATTTTAAATCATGAGGCACCACTAGTAAGGAAGAGAAAAGAATCAAAAGTTGGTGTGATGGACAGAACCCAAGCTAGCCAATAAAGACTGCGAATACAGAAGAAAAAAAAAAGATCTGGACTGGCAGCAGAGTGGGAGATGTGGTGAGGGAAAGGTGTTAAGGACAATAAGAAATATCTATAGTGATGAAAACATGCAAGTGTTTCATGAAGCAACCTTTTAAAATACAGGGTTTTAAGTCGTAGTACTACCCAGTGAAATAAGCATTCTATAAAAAGGAAACCAGGGCTGGGCGTTGGTGGTGCACACCTTTAATCCCAGCACTCAGGAGGCAGAGGCAGGCAGATCTCTGTGAGTTCGAGACCAGCCTGGTCTACAAGAGCTAGTTCCAGGACAGCCTCCAAAGCCACAGAGAAACCCTGTCTCGAAAAACAAAACAAAAAAACAACAAACAAAAAACAAAACAAGACAAAAAAAAAAAAAAAAGGAACCCAGGACTTAAAAAAGTAAGGTGGCCTTTCTCTAGCCACCCAGTTTGTAGGCAGAAAGACTCCAATGTCTACAAAATCCCCAAACCCACCCAACATCCAGATAAGTTATGGTTAGGTTCCAACTGCCCCTCAAATCTTAGCATTTGGTGCCTCCATCTGCCCTGATCTCATGTAGTCAGTTCTGCCTCCAGAATTACCAAGTATAAATAGACATTTAGGAGTAACAACAATTCCCCCAAAGAGAAAAAATTAGAATACCAAAATTTGTGGTGTGTGTGTGTGTGTAGGGGGGGAGGGTGTCATTGATAGTTGACTGAACATTAGAACCTCTTTAGTAGTTTCCCTAAGTAAGTTACAAATATATTACTGTATTGTACTGATCATTTCTCCATTTATTTAGATTACTTCATGATACCAGCATCTCAAAAAAAATAATAATCTGAGGGAGCTGGGAAGACAGCTGAGTTGCTAAAGTGCTTGCCATGCAAGTATGAGGACCTGAGTTCAGATCTCTAGTACCCACTTAGAAAGTCAAACACTACACACCTGCCTTGAATCCCAGAATTCGGGAGGCAGAGGCAGACGGATTTCTGTTGTGGCCAGCCTGGTGTATGTATTGAGTGCCTGGACAGTCAGAACTACAAAGAGAATCTGCCTCAGAAAAAGAAAAGAAAAGAAAACCAAATTGGTATGATGGTGACAGGCAGACCTCTAAAAATGGCTGGTCGAAATTCTAGCTGAATTGGCAAGTTCTAGGTTCAATAATAGACACTGTCAGATACCCAGAACAAGGTGGGAACTGGAGAAGACATCCAATGTTCACTTCTGTCACAGATACATATATGTAAAATAATACACCTTGGGAATTCTGCTCAATGAAAATAAGTTGAACAGCATACTAGCAAATACAAACTGAAGTACAGGTAAGACTGGTGCAGCGGCTTGGCGGGAGACGTGTTTAACTTTGATTCCTGGGAGCCACAATGTGGAAGGAGGGAACCAATTCTGTAAGTTGTCCTCTGGCCTCATGTAAACTGTGAGCACTGTATGTGCATTTACTTATGTACACACATGCAAAATAAGTAAGAATACAAGCAGTGTAATTTAAATAAAAAATTGCATAAAAAAAGAATACAAACAGTGCATTAATGCTGAAAGAATCCAGAATGTAACAAAAGACCTGTGGTTCAATTAGTTTCCTTTCCCTGTACTCCTTATATACTGTTTACCTTGCAATGTAATTTTTAAGTCATAATATGATTCAGTGATGTCCTGAGGGATGTTCTTAAAATTTGATTACCACAGCTATAATTTTTGGAAATTTTAATTATCTGTGTAATGAAAATCATCCCTCCCCACCCCAAGATAGGGTCTCAGACTATAGCCCAGATTGGCCTAGAATTCTCTACATAGCCTTGCCGGGCCTTGAATTCATAGTAATCCATTTGTCTCAGTCTCTCAAATGCTGGCACTGTAGGTTTGATACACTATACCCAGATTGTTTTAAATAGTGCTCTTTTCTTTAAAAAAAAATTATTTCTTTAATGCTCGAGTGTGTGTGTATGTATGGAGGTAGCTGAGAGGGCAACTTGATTAAGACAGTTCTCTCTTTCTACCATGTGGGTCCCAGGAGTCAAACTCAAGTAATCAGGCTTGCTGGCAAGCACAATCTCATTGGCCTTTTTGATTTTTTTGAGATAAAGTTGAACTTTGTTGCCCACAGTGGCCTTGAACTCACAACAGCTTCAAGCTGCAACTACACCCCACTCTTTACTTTAAAAAGCTATTTTGAACTAAGTGTATGTTTGTGTGCCCGTGAGTATATGCTGTGTGTGCACGTGTACCCACAGAGGGCAGACAGCAGCACTGATCTCCCTGAAGCTGTAGTTACAGGTGGTTTGTCAGCTGTCCAGTGTGAGTGCTACAAACTAAATGCAGGGCCTCTAGAGAAGAGTGGCAAGTGCTGAGCCACCTCTCAATGCCTTAAGTTTCCATGTGCGTGCATGCGCATGTATGTGTGTACATGCATGGCGTTCACATACATGGAGGTCAGGGACAGCCTCCTAACACTGGTTCTCTCTTTCCACCTTTGTGTGAGCTCCCAACTTGCCAGGCTGAGTGACAAGTGTCAGCCACAGTTCCATCTTGCCAGCCCTTAATTTTTCTTATTAAGATGCTCAGATTTTATACTTTTCAAAATCCTCAAAGCTTCTTGCTTTTATTTATAAATTAATTAACTTTAAAGTTTTATGTGGCTACTCAATCCTTTAGAATTTCATTACTCCTTAATATTTTAACTATGAGTAATTGGAGAAGTTTTACTCGTATACAAATTCACTGTTTCTAAAATAATAACAATAGTGAGTTTAACAGATATAATTACAAAGGTGAACTATGGAAACCTGTTGAATTAAGTCTTTATTATTTTAGGTTTATTTTCATATTGGGTCCCTGATGGGAGTCCCTGCAACTACTGAGGTCCTTAAACGGAGTCTTGGATGCATACATACACGGTTGTTTTCAAAGAATCACTCATCTAAGCAAAAAGGCCACATGATTAAAAATAAAATTTTTACCGCTTTACAGTTCAGTAGTAAAGTCAGAAAAAACATGCTATTCTTCTACAGATTTACTTAAAATTGCTTCTCAGCTGGACAAAGAAAACAGATATACACTAATGTATGTGGATGCTCAGGTGATAATTGACACCAGAATGCTTTACAAATGCCTGTGAGAGTTTTCTTACCTTTAGAAGCTCAAAGTAGTGCAGACAGTGGTACACGGGGGCCAGCAGCAGCCGAGGCAGCACATACTGCACAGCTTCTTTGAAGCCTTCGCCTATCGACCTCTGTGTAGCTTTGGAGCCTATCCTGGCACTCGCTCTGGAGACCAGGCTGGCCTCGAACTCACAGAGATCCGCCTGCCTCTGCCTCCCGAGTGCTGGGATTAAAGGCATGCGCCACCAACGCCCAGCGGAAGTGAGTTTTTTTAAGAGTTTATTTTTCTGACATTGTGAAATTTGATTTAATAGTCACTATACCTGCAAATAAAGTGCTGCCCCAGGCTTTAATATCTGACTAAGGAAACGATCATGGAATCCTGGCCGTAAAATATCCCGAGCATATGATTCATATGGGTCAAATGCTAGTTCCTTAAAAGATAAAAGAGAGTAAAATAAGAATAATTGTAAATAATCTTTCTCCAAGGTAAAATATAAATGACCCACCACCCAAAATACAAAAGATTAAATTATGACCATATCTACATAAACATATTTCTTTTAAAGACTCCAAATGAAAATTGAGTGGTTATTTTAATTTTAACAGAATAAATGTAATATTCTCAAGTAAAAGAATACATTAGTTCTTTCTTCTAAGTGACAGGATCAATGTGCACTAACAAACTTCTCTGTCAAGCATTTTAGGACAACTTAGAGTTGTCCTAAGAGTGGGAAGACTTGGTTTTAGAAAACAGCATAGCTTAACTTGAACAACAAATGATAGTGTATGACTAAGTAAGACATAAGCATTTAGAATATTGTTGTTAGATATTAATTCATTCATATTTAAAGGTGGGGACTGGAGAAATGGATCAGCAGTTAAGAACACTTGTTGCTCTTGTAGAGAACCCAGGTACCCTCACAGTGGCTTACAACCACCCATAACTCCAGTTACAAGATATCTGATGACGCCTTCTGGCTTCTGGGGGCACCAAGAACATAATGTGGCACACATACAGGCAAAATACATAAAATAAATAAATCTAAAAAGATTTCTTTTGTGTTGATATTTATTTTCCTATTTTGTATCATCTAAAATTCTGTTGCAGTTTTCATAAAACTAACAATCTAAACTGCAAATGAAAAACCCCATCATTTAATAATTTAATATATTACCAATCATCAATAAGTTAAAGTCTCCTAGCTATGTCTAAAAGACTACTGATGATTCCTGAGGAAATAAAGAGTAGGTATGTTGATTTTAGCAAGAGGAATATATTCCAGTTATAAAACAGGAGGGACAGCTCAGTGAGTAAACCCTCCTATTGACAGTCCTGATGACCTTAGTTCACTGTCTGGGACCACAGAATGGAAGGATATGACTCATTTATACAAACTGTCCTCTGACCTCCACTATATATGAAACACACAGAGAGCTTCAGACTCTTAACAAGTGTTCATTTCTATAAAAGCCAATTCTAGAAGAGACAAATGGAAGGATGTAGTAGGCAAGAAAGAATAAGACAAATGATTTTTATATGTTAATTACCTTCAGTGTTGTTTTTAAACTACTTCTTAAGATTAATAGAACACAGGTCTGACCATGTTCCAGACTGGAGCTCTGGTCACCATGAGGTGCAATGTTACAGGGAATGCTCCAAGTCATCCTTCCTCCTTACACCCTCATTCAACTCCTAAGTTTTAATTATTGATTTGCTGTCTTTACTGATGAATGCTATCTGTGACATGTGCCAACACTCTGTAATCTCATTCTGTTTCCACTATCTCTCTATATTGGTAGCGACACTCTACCCTGATGTTACTAGTTAATAAATTTAAATACGTGATAGAGTTAGCTTCCTCAGGCTGCTGCTCCTTTAAGTTTATTTTGTCTTTTTTTCTGGCCTGGGGGTGGGTTGGGAGGTGGTAGATTAGAGAGTCAAGACAGGATCTCATTGGGTAGCTAGCACAGACTACCCTAGGACTAACAACAGGCTTCACACGCATTCTTAGGCATTAAAGATCAGCATGCTGTGCACTGGCTACTAACACTAATGCGATACTGAGTTTTTCCATCCATAGCACAGCGTAGCGTAGTATGTATTCCCGTTTACTCATACATCCTGTATGAACCTAAATATGTTAATTTTTTCTTAAAGAAGGTCTTACATACTTTAGTTAGGTTTTTTATCACCATCATCATCATGTATATGTATGTTTTACAGGTGTGTACACGTCAGAGGACTTTTGGGAGTCAGTTTTCTTTCTACCATAATTCTAGGGATGAACTCTAGAGCTGGACTTCACCCAGGGACCAAGCTCAGCTGTCAAGCCTGCATAGCATTTTATGGCTGAAACCATCTCGAAGCCCTTCTTTCTTACTATCTTCTAACACATGGCAGCTTTTGCCTTTAAAGCTCTATATTCTGACGGGTGTAACAGCACAGAAATGCTGATCCATCCTCTAGGCCACTATACCCAACTTAACTCATTTTTTTTTAAAGTATAGTTTTCTTGTATTTGTTAAGTACTGACTACAAATAAGGACAACTCTTTTTGTTGTTTTTCGAGACAGGGTTTCTCTGTGTGTAGCTCTGGCTGTCCTGGAACCCACTCTGTAGAACAGGCTGGCCTTGAACTCACAGAGATCCACCTGCCTCTGCCTCCCAGGCTCCCCCCACCACCACTACCACCACCACCACCCAGTGGGCAACTCTATTTTATTCTGTTCCTTTTCTGTCATTTTGTACTAGGCAGTACCTGTTGTATTTTTTCCAATTTCTGAATTCTCCTGGAGGTTCCTACCCACCTCATTGTTTTTTTCTTCCTGTTTTCTGAAACAGAATATCTGTGCTGGTTAGTATTAGTCAAATTATGTTTTTGGTTGTGAGCCTAGCCTTTAATGGCTGAGCTATCCCTCCAGCTCAGTATTAGTCAACTTAACACAAGATTGAGTCATATAAGAAGAAGGACCCTCAATTGAGAAAAAATACTCCCAAATGATTGGCTTGGATTGATGACTGCTGTGGGTAGTGCCATCCCTGATCATGTGGTCCTGGGTTATATAACAAAGTAAGTTTCTCTTGGTTTCTGCCTCCAGATTCTTCCAGCTTCCCTTGATGGTAGGTTGTAACCTGTACGCCAAACAAAGCCTTTTCTCCTCAAGTAGGTTTTTTTGGTCATGGTGTTTTATCACAGCAACAGAGAACAAATCTGAGAAGTCTCATACTGCTTTAGCCTGGTACCCAACTTGCTCCATGGCTGAGAATGACATGGACCATCCTATACCCCTGCATACACCTGCCATTGCTGAGATTAAAGAGTTACAAGGGGTGTACCACCATACCCAGTTTACACAGCCCTGAGGACTGAACGAAGGTCTTCACCTGTGCTAGGGAGACTTTACCAACAGGGTACATCCCCAGCTCCTCTTCTCTCCCTCTCTCCCTCTCTCCCCTACAAGCTCAGCATTGTTACAAAAGATGGAATGGGTTTTAGAATGCTTCAAAATGACTACCAGTGATGACTTATTAAAACTACCCCACATTTAGCATGTGAAATACTCAAGATTACCAGACTTCCTGTGGTATTTCATCTATCTGGGCCTTGGACCTGAGTTTCCTAGTCACTTCACTGCTCCAATTCTAAATATAATACAGCTATCACATACATTTACTATGTAAATTAGTCAAATATTTAAGGGAGGTTATCTTAATTTTCACAAAAAACCTTGAGTCCTGTTATTGTTATTATCCTTTACAAATGTATAGAGAGAAGTAAATATTAGTAACTTGCTTGGAGCCACATAAGTAATAAATAGCAGTAAATGATGAGTAGTGAGACCCTAGAGCCAAGCTTTGACTCACTAGCTTCCCTTTATCTTTCCCTGAAAGAGACACAGTGTGACACTGGGATTGGCTATAGTGTCACTCTATGAATCTGGGAATGACAACTTTTTCTGTGCTTGATAACAATAAATGTTGACAATGACTATGAGAAAGGAGCAATAATGCATTTATAAGTTAATTACCTGTGACTTGCCCAGGAAGTAGGAATTATGGACCTATTTTAAATGTAAATGTGGACTTATAAACAGACTTCTTTTGCTATAATAATGACATACTTACCTCTGCTAAGTCTTCAAAACAGCTTCCTACTAATGGGTGGGGACTGCTTTCATCTGTCATCTCTACAGTGTCTTCTATATGGCCCAGTAACTTTACACTAAGTTCATGTATATCTACTATACGACTAAATATGTTTTCTACATCCTATGAAGAAAAGGGAAAGAAATATTAATTCAGTCATGTTGTATAATAAGGTATCTTTTTTAGCAAATTAAGTCATTTTATGTCCAAGTTCAATATATTGAGTAATTTTAATGACTTATAATAAAAAACACTTCAAAATTCCTTTTTTTCATGATATACAATTAAGAAATACATATCTCTGTCAATCACCTTGTTATAAAACATCTTCATACTCTACAAATCCTCCACACAGTTTACCAGAGAACAACAAGATCTTATTGTCTGTCTCTGCATTAAATATGTTGTGATACAATATTTTGGTTGAAGTACATTAAGAAAACTACAGCTTTATCAGATATATAATTTCACCCAAACATGTAATGGGAAAATGAAGGACTTCTTTAATAGTCTACTCAACAAACTGATAATCTTTTGTACTCTGTATAATTTTTCTATTGAAATTTAATGAACATAATATAAAATAACTGGTTTTCTGGGAGTGAGGATACTGAGGGTAACGTGGATGGGACTTAAGATTGTTTATAAGGCAAGAAAGTATCTTATACCTTTGTAGGGGGAAATACTGACCACGCCCACCTGGTCGTAGCAAGGCTTTAAATATCAGGGACCCACACAGGTGGCTCTCTTTTCCCTCTCCCACTTGGCTGAACAGGACTGGCTCCGTAGCATGAGTACTTTCTTAATAAACTATCTGTGATCAATCTAGTTCTGACTCTATTGCAATCCAGTTTATATCTTGACGACAACAGGGTTAAATATGGAGAAATAAATGCATAAGATCTCACAGTATATTTTAAGTAAGTGTAATCTTCCTTTGTGTGGACCATTTAAGTACACTATAAAATGTACTTACAGAATATATACTCAATGGCTTCAGTATACTCAGACTGAAGCTGTCACCACAAAAGACAAACTCAGTACAAGAGTAACTCTCCACTGTTATTTACAGTCCCTGCAGCCACAGCTGTCCTTTCTGTATCTGTGCAGCTGTCTTTTCTAAACACCCATGCAAACAAATGACATGGCATTACACTAGTATTAATAAACTGGTCATTTCATACAGGTTAGTTGTAATATGGTCTCTGAGACCACATAATTTTATGCTGTTCTGTTAAAATCTATTCATTACTATTTTATCAGTGATTTCCATTTCTGTCTAGTTAATTTTGAGAAGTGGTTTGGATACAGTAAGATATCCCTACTTTAAATGTGTTTATTGGTGAGATTATATGTAATTAGTCCTCTTTGTAACCTCATTATAGTTACTATCCATATTTTCTCATCTTAAAATTTTTTCCTTATGGGGCTGGAGAGATGGCTCAGCAGTTAAAGCACTGGCTGCTCTTTTGGAGAACCAGGATTTGATTTCTAGAACCCACAGGGCAGCTTATAATCATCTGTAACTCTAGTACCAGGAGATCCAATGCCCTCTTCTGGCCATCACAGGAAAACAATCACATATAAAATAAAAGCAAACCATAGTTTTAAAAAGTTCTCTTATGTCTTATCTGCATCAACTCCCACCATCCTTACAGGAGGAGTGTTCTCCTTCCTGTTACTAGACAATTATCTTTTCCAGAACATTATGTCTGTGTGTCCAGCCTCTCTGCTCATGTTCTTGAGCATTCAGCTATTTGGGTGTATGCATAAGTATATCATTCTTTATTTCTGGTGAATAGCTGTTCACTCTAGGGGTAAACCACAGTCTCCCTATGTTCACCTTTGACAGACATTGAGTTATTTCCAGTTTTGAGCTACTGTAAATAAAGTTGCTATTTTGTATGGACTTATTTTTCTTTTAAGCAAAAAAACTAATAGAATTGTCAGAAAATGTAGCAGTGTTACAAAAAAAGCCTATTTTAAAACATTGCTAATTTATATCTCACAAGTAACGTGGAAATTTTACAAAACCATAAGAGGTCACTCCACATTCTTCTCAGTAAAAAGTCTTTCTAATAAGTGTGTGGAAAATCTCACTATGCTTGGATTTGTACTTCTTTGATAATTAATGATACTGAACACCATTCAGCAAGTTTTGGTTGTTGATTTTTGTTTTGTCTCTCCTTTACTCTTTTTTAAAAAGTAAATTTAATGAAACAATTTAAAAGCCATGCATTTCATACATATGCTTAGCATATTTATAAATCTTTAGACTCTTAATTCTTTATTTAATTTTTGTAGTGGTGGGAACTGAACCCAGAGTCTCACATTCGTATTAGACAAGTGTTCAGCCCCTGGGCTGCAACCTCAGACCCTGCTCCTTTATTGTTTAACAGTTACTCACTGTTGCAACTTGAACTCCAGAGCCCGCTCCTGTGGAGCAGTGTTACCCATCAGTCACCAGGCTCTGTGGCCATCGTTTAGGAGTCACTGAGCATTCTCTTGGTTAGTGAGATTAGTATGGCCTCTCATGAAACTAGGCTCTTGTCCAAATTCCAGTTCCTTCATGATCCTAATTATGACGCTCATCATACTTGAGTACACTTTCCATTTACAGCTTTGCCCTGACTAATTAGAGAGAAGGATTGTTTCTCACTCATTTAAATATGGTGTCCAACAATACAACTGCTGCTAATGAGTATCAGTTAAATGACTCAAATGAGTCAATTGAATAAAAAATATCCTCCACCTAAACAAGAGGCTTTATTCCTTGAAATAAATGGATTATTATGTGAATTCATTTTCACTTACATAATTAGTCTATTTTAGATTTCGTCTTTTGATTTCTGATGTTTAATCTCTTGAAACTGCTTTAGCACTTTATTTGTGATCATGAATTTAAGTCCCACAACTTAAAAAAAAATGGTCAAATTAGAAGTTGTGAATTATGTAAGTTCAATTTTGAAGTGAAATTTAACAGCATATGCAAAAATAGCATAAAATATACTTACATAAGATGAAAACAATTTGGAATTGGAGACAAAGGGTTCTCGAAAAACTTTTATAATTAGATTTAATTCTCTTATATATTGTCGAATTTCTGCCATGAATGCTTTTACCAAATCATAATAAGTTTGTTCTCCTGAGGTGGAAGGCTCTTCATCAGTTAAAGATAAGATATTTATGTCTTCTACATCTTGATGAAACATATCCATCAATACCTATGCAGTCAGAGACATAAAACCAAGTATAAAACACATGCTATAATGTGTGTGTAGAAATCAGAGGACAAACTGTTCCTAAGAATTCTTTGAATTGGTCTGGAGAGAAGAGCTGGCTCAGTGGTTAAGAGCAACTGATGCTTTTCTAAAGGACCTGGGCTCCACCCTCAGCTCCCACATGGTGGTTCACAGTCTTCTTTACCTGCAGTTCCAGGGGATCTCATGCCCTCTTTTGGCCTCCATGGAGACCAGGCATGAGCATGATGACAAACATACACTCAGGTAAAAGAGCCATATACATTAAAAAACAAATTCATTCAAAAAGTTTACAATTAATACTCATGCTGAAACTCATCCCTCCTACTGTTGTGGGCTTCTGAAGTGTCACTACAATGCATTTTACCTTAGGCTACAATAAAAGTCACCTTTCAACAATTTGAGCCGTGTTGAAATTTTTTAATATTTTTAAACTTTAAAGGCATAGTCTCATATAACTGAAGCTAGCCACAAGCTCACTATGTAGCAAGGTTAGCATCAATTTCTGATCCTTCTGCCTCCACAGTCGAGTGCTGAGATGGCAAGCTTACAGAGCATGTGCAGTTTATACAGTACTGGAAATTCTACATTCTAGGCAAGCACTCTGTCGATTAAACTGCATCCCAGCCCCCTTTTAACATGTTTTTCTGTGTGTTTACAAAAAAAATTGTAAACATAAAACCAAGTACTTATCCATTTAAAAATATGAAAGCACATGTCATTCTTCAGAGCAGGACCTTTATTTCCCTCTAGATTATTCTGTAAGAACAAGCACTAACCCTGAGTAGATTTGTTAAGAATGGCGACAGGGTGACGGAAGTGCAATGGTGTCACCCTGTGAGGGCACTTAAGTGTCATAGACCTTTACCTGATCCTCCCCATACAGTACATACAACCTGGAGACATGCCATTAGATTACTAGAAACCCTCCCTCAACACATTTCTGTTCTTCCTGAATTATATTATTCCTGAATAATATAATTATTATATTAGCACCTAATAAACAATAAGTAAAATTTATGGATAAGACACACAAAAGTTCTTACCTTATCAGCACACATTGCCACTTTAATGTCTTGTTTTGTAATTTCATAATGCCGTATATTTCTTACATAATTCCCCACCAGCTTTAAAATATCTGCAGAAATATATTCTAATACTGCTACTATGTAAACAGAAACCTGGTGGTCAATTTTATAACCTAGAACCTCCTGAAAAATTAAAATGAAAACATGTTCAAACATTGTATACAGTAAATCTACTGATTAAAAAATAAAATCATTCAACTTGGCTTAACTATTACTGAAGCTTGTCATTACCAACATTAAATAATTTAAGTTTTAATAGCTTAATCATGCCTATATATGTAGAATACACACACACACACACACACACACACACACACACACACACACACACACACACACCTGAAAAAAAAACCAAGCTATGATGCTGGAGAGATGGCTCAGAGGTTAAGAGGACAGACTGCTCTTCCAGAGGTCCTGAGTTCAATTCCCAACACCCACATGGTGACTCACAACCATCTACAGTGGGGACTGGTGTCCTCTTCTGGCATAAAGGTGGACACGCAGACATAATATAAATAAATCTTAGGAAGGAAGGAAGGAAGGAAGGAAGGAAGGAAGGAAGGAAGGAAGGAAGGAAGGAAGGAAGGAAAAAAAGAGAAAAAAAGCAAGCTAAGAAAAGGAAGCAGAATTGTCCCTGGTCATGTACACTACTTGAGCAGAACACATTACTAAGTAGGTGATGCTAACCTAAGCAAGAAAGTCTAAGTTTGGAGTCAGGAGCAAATGGTCTATTACCAAGTAGGAATGCAAGAAAGAAACTACACAAAATCTTTTTCTTACCAAACAATAGTGTCTATAATACTAGCATTCAGGAATAGCTATTAGTCTTATACCTCAATACTTTCCCAAGAAACCTAGGCTCCCCAAGCAGCCTTATGGCACATTCTTGGCTTTGCTACTGAGCATATTAAATAGTTCTATTATTAGACTTAATAGAGAATATGTTCTTTTGTGGGACTAAAAGTTCCTAAAGGAAGATGAATTCTAAAAGAGAGGAAAAAATAATGCATGTCTTTAATCCCAGCACTTGGGAGGCAGAGGCAAGAAGATCATAAATCTCAGGCCAAGGCCAACCTGGGCAATAAAGTAAGACCCTGTCTCAAAGGGGGATAGAAAGAAAAAGGAAGGAAGGAAGGAAGGCAGGAAGGTAGGAAGGAAGGAAGGAAGGGAAACAAAACACACAATACACACCAGAGAAACTTTTTCCTTAGGTTTTAAATATTGTAATAAGGTATTTGTGTATGTGTATGTGTTAATGTGTCACAGTAAGAAACAAAACTAGCATTATTAGGATTCTTTGTAATTTTCTACTAGTTCTGGAAAGATTAAAGTGGCTAACTTAAATTTAAGTAGGACCAGCTCATGTAAGTAATCTTCAGGGAAGTTTTTGTCCCACAACAACACAGATACCTACTGCAGTTCCTGCACAAAATGCTAACAGATTTTAAAGGCCTTATGGGACACTTCGGTCTGACCAGCTAGACAGAAATGTTACAAATTCTATTTTCTAGCAACCCCTGGGGTAAATAAAATCTACAATATAACTTTTCCAAATCTGTTCAATTTTATTTCTATTGGTGTGAAATTACATTAAACCATATTGCCCAATCTATATTCATTATCATAGTACCCATTCCCACAACATGAATTCCTGGAAAACTTAAAAGGATTTTACTGTCAGTTATTTTGCCTTTCAAAGGCAAGATGGCAGGGGTTCAACTTACCCTTAATAAATGATGAATTCTTTCTGCTGGCAGAGATAAAGGATTTCTTCTCTTCCTCTTTTCAATAGCTGATTGGGCATCAGCTATTGCCCACTTATCAATTGGATGAGGGAAACTTTTTTGAACACGTTCCTTAGAAAATAGGAAAATAACACCAAATAAATGAAACAGAGTTCATCACTTAAAAGTTTATTTTAAATAAAAATATACAAAGTTGAGCTTTTCACATAATTTACACTGTAAATATAATTTTAAAAATCCTGCAGTTGTATTAGTTTCTTAATTAGGCAACTAAGGGACTGGACATACTTTAATTGCCTGGGAAATCACTCCCTGAACTCTACCATCAATAACACTGAAGGCAATACTGGTAAGTCACTTTAAACATCACTGTCAGTTTCAAGGAAGGAGACCCACACTTACTTAGCAAATACAACTCCAATAATTATTTTGGGGAGAGGGGTGTGAGATAAGGTTTCTCTGTGTATCTCAGGCTGTCCTGGAACTCGCTCTGTAGACCAGGCTAGTTTCAACTCTCAGAAAACCCCTGCCTCTGCCTCCAAGTGCTGGGATTAAAGGCATGCACCATCACAGTCAGCTAAATAAATACTTATTTACTTTCATCCTTACTTTAATCCCAATTATAAACTCCAGAAGCATTTTCAGTTAAAACCTCAGATTTTTTTTAAACCACCACGTGAGAATATTTACTTCCAAGACTGTCTACAAGTCATGATATTCAGTGGTCTGTAATGGTAACAGCAGAGCTCAGATCCATTTTTAGGAAACTATTTCAAATCTAACATCTAGAAGCTATATGGTTAAAATATGATTGAAAGTTAAAGAATGACCTGTTATAATAGCTAAATCCCCTTCTTTAATTAGCAAAAAGTGCTCCCTTCCAGTGTTTAAAACCCACTTGCAGTATACCCCAATCAGAGCCAGTAGAGGTCAGTATTACAAAACCTTTAACAAATTTCTCAGTATTCAACTAGTAGTATGTAAAACTACATGAAATTCAACATTGCCCCTGAATACAAACCTGAATGAAAATTTTACCAGTAAGTACATTGGCAGGGATGCTCTAGAGCTAGCTGTGAGGAAGGTATAGATCTAATGCATTTAAGACATCCTAGCAGCAGATCTACCACAGTTATTCTAACCTTCTCTTCATTCTATGATCAAGGCTGCTCAGGTGCCAGTCTCTAAAACTGCATGTTTTAATTACATTAGAAGTATAGTTTAATTAGAAGTGAAAGAATTCTTATAGTTAAAAAATAAAAGTAGAAAATCTCTTCAATGCCTAGTTGGAACCCTTTCTGCCAGGACGCTGCTATCCATGTGATGAAGGGGATAGGAATGCTGGGAGGGGGCTGGGAGGGGGAAAGGATAACAAAGGGACACCTGAAACACAAAGCACCCCTTCCTCCCTCTAGCTCTCTCCTCATCACCTCTCTAGTCACTCAGCACTGTGCTTTGGACTATACCAGGGCCTTCCACCTCCTAGGTTAATGGTTCTTCTCCAGCCACGGGATTCCTAACACTTTAAAACCTCAATTCAGAATGACAACATCAAACATAAGCCATGAAAGTTGAAGGAAGGATTATTGGGGGAGGGGGTCAGCAAAAAGGGGATAGAAGGGAGGGGGAGAGGATGAGTAACAGCAAATTACAAATGACACATGCATGAAAACGCCGTAGAAAACCTTACATCCTGGCAAAAACACACTTGCTGCACAAGCCGGATGGCATGAGGTCAGTCCCCTGAGCTCAGAAACCCACAGTGGAAGAATAGACTCCAGAAGCAGCCCTCCAGCTTCCACACATACTACATGCATGTCCTCTCCCCTCCCCTCCCCACCCCCCACATGCCCCGATGAATTTTTTAAAAAGGTTTACCCAGTACTTTGTATGTAAACTTAAAAAAAAATGCAATAAAAAATAATCCATCTCCATTCTGATGAGACAGCTCAACAGGTAAGTGCACTTGCAGCCTGATGTCCTGAGCTTGATCCCCAGAACCCACATGGTAGGAGAGAAAGTCCTGAAAGCTGTTCCCTTCATGCAAATGTGGCAGTCTACACACACACACAAACACACAAATAAATAAATAAATAACACATTTTCAATAGTTTATATTATAACCTTACGCAGGAACTTATGAAACAGGGTTTCCCAAATAAACCTTGCCCTTGTTTTATGAAGCATACTACTCTTTTCTACTTCTTTTTGGATGATCAATGCACTAAGTGATCTTACAGCCCAGAGAGCATTCTCTCCAGTTCAGAAAACTGATTTTTTTTTTGCCTTAAATCTTCATTATGTTTATTACCTTCTGAGAATCAATTTTCAAATACATAAGCAAAGAAAAAATACCCCATAGGATTAATGTAAGGATATAGAAATTTACAAACTAGCACTTTGAAATTATAAAATTTCAGTGGTTATGAACAAGTAATTCTCTTCCAGGAGACCTGAGTCTGCCAACACATAGCTCACAACTGCCTGTAATCCCAGACCCAGGGGGATTGTCCTGGATAGTTTTATGTCAACTGGACATAAACTGAGTCAGAAAGGAGGGAACCTCAAGTGAAAAAATGTCTCCATAAGATTGGGCTGTAGGCAAGCCTGTAGGGCATTTTCTTAATTAGTGATTGATGGGGGAAGGCCCAGCTCATTATGGGTGGGTGGTGCCATCCCTGTGCTGGTGTTCCTAGGTGCTATAAGAAAGCAGGTTGACCAAGTCAGTAAGCAGCACTCTCCCATGGCCTCTGCATCAGCTCCTGCCTCCAGCTTTCTGTTATGTTTGTGTTCCTGTCTGGCTTCCTTCCATGATGGACTACAGTGCAGAAATGAAAGTCAAATAAACCCTTTCCTCCCCAACTTGCACCCTAACTAAGACAGGGATCCAACTCCTTTGGCCTCTGTAGGTACCTGCACTTTATACATGTCTACACACAGATGTGTACACATACATATAATTAAATATAATAAAAATAAATGTTTGAAAAAGAAATGATAAAGCTTATTACATAAGTTACTGGCATTCTTGTTACTGTCATATTCTTACATATTCTTACAAAAAACTATCTTCAGCCCCAAAGCCTACGCATTAGAATTTCATATGGCTTTTTGTTCCTAGTTTATATATTAAAGATGAAATGAGACAAGTATAGTTCTGTAAACATAAATGGAAAGATCCGATTTGTATTTGCAATGTCAGCAGATTAGCAAATTCCTAGAATGTACCAACATCAGAATGATAAGCAAGGTGAGATTTGTGAGCCCTTTCTAATATACTAGACATAAGTCTGGATTCTGCCAAACCCCAGAAAAACATAGCAAGGATCAAAAAGAAAGTCCAACTGAAATTGTTGATGTGATAAAAGTCAGGCAAGCAGCGCTACTCAAGATCCCTGTGAAACAACATAAATAGGTACTTAAGAGAAGTTGTGAATAAAAAAATCTGACTTTACAATTAAACGGAAATGGGAAGAAACCAGCCAAGCCTGGTGGGGGACTCCTGAAATCCCAGTAAATGGGAGGTGGAAGCAGAAAGATTAAGAGTCATTCTTGATTATACAACAAGTTGAGTTCAAGGTCAAAAGGGACTACATGTGATCCTGTCTCAACAACAACAACAAAACCAAACCACCACAAATAACCTACTGTAAATGAGTTAAGAAATGAGAGTCACCCTGTACATAATCTTTTCTACATTTCAAACATGCTGTATGATGTTCTCTGTTTTATTCCCTTTCTTTTTTTTTTTTTTTTTTTTTTTTGGGTGGTGGTGGTGGTGGTGGTGGTGGTGGGAATGGGGCTCTGGCTGACCCTGGAGATGGAACCTGAGGCTTCATGTATCCTACCTATCAATGAGCTACACCCCTGACCCTCAATGTTCCTAGATGCTTAACTGCCTCAACTGATATCCAGACCTCCCTCATGACTTACCCCATAACTCACAGGCCAGGTTCCATTAGCTGCTTCTTTGAAACAGCAATCTTCCACACCTATCTAAAGTCCTAGGACTTTAGAAGTTAAGGGTAAGAATAAATAGAACCCTCTCCTGGACTCTCTTGTTTTGCTTTTTCAGAGAGGGTCTCACATAGCTCAGACTGGCCTTGAACTTCCTATATAGTCAAAGTTGATCTGGAAACCCCATCTTCTTGCCTTTAACTCCCAAGTGCTGGTTTTAAAGGTCTGCATAATACCAGTGCTTGGCATCTTAATTCTTTAAGTGCCATATTTTGGGAACTTTTAGCTTTAGTCTGTCACTGTCACATGTCCACATCTGCTCTGTAACTGTTACCAGTGAAGCTGTTAGGCTCATCTTTCTTTGATCCAATCTTGTCTACTGTTCTCCCTCAGATATTTTCAGTATTTCATTGTCAATCCTTTAACTTTCTGAAGGGAAGTTTTTGGAATGAAACTTTTGTACATGTTCCACTCTTAAAAGTATGAACAGAGATCTCTGTGAATTCAAGACCATTCTGGTTTTACATAGTGAGTTCCTCGACAGTCAGGACTATGCAGAGAGGCATTGTCTCAAAAAAAGAAAGAAAAGATCATCCTAGTAGTAACATGAAGTTGTTGGTTTAAATGAAAGGTCAAATCTGAAAGTTATACAGCTAAAACACATATAAGCTATCACATCAAACACTTTTCTCCTTTACTGCCATTACAACAAACATACAGCTAGAAATACATACTGTCAATACAGAACAAAAGTTGTCATTTGTCATACCTCCACATCTGAAGCACTCCGGGGCTGAGCTTGGCATAGCATATTTAATAATTGCAAAATTAATTCTTCAACATACTGAAGAGCATCATCATTGGACTCAAGAGTAGGATGAACTTGCCCCTGAACCTATAAAGAAAGTGAAGTAATTAAAATGGTTTGTTCTAAAGAATGTGAACTAGCCTACAAATAGATTGAATATTGTCCAAAAAATCAGGGCTTCTCATCCTCTGTTCCCAGCCTCATGCACCATGCATGCTATTAATAGCTTTTGGAGATCCAGTTACCTAACTGTAACTTCACTATTTTTTGCATATACTATGGTTTGCAATGAGATGCAGAAATGGGAGTAGGAGGGAGAGGCTAAGGTGGTAATAAAACATTCAGTTTATGTGGGATGTCTGCCCAGAATCAGTTACAACTTTCTTTCAACATTCTACTTGGGTAGAATTGATCTCTGATGGGTTTCTGCCTCTTGTTTAAGTCTACCTTCTTTACCCAATGATAAGACCCAAGAGGACATCTCATCAGGTTCACTAGAGAATATCCAGCATCTAGTACTCTATAGAGCATACACAGCACACATTTAATAGATATTTGTGAAGACAAAGTCATCTGACATCAAAATGCAGCCAAGGAGATGGCTCAGAGGATAAAAGCACAAGTCTGGTGACCAGAGTTGATCCACATACAAATTACGCATTTGTAATCACAACACTTCTATAGCCAGATGGAGTCTGAGACAGTGAAATTGCCAAGAAACTGGTAGGCCAGCTAGCCTGGATTCCTCCTTGCAGCAGGAGAAACAGAGACCCTGTGTGAAAAGTAAGAATTTACTCCCCCGTGCATTCTCTCTCTCTCTCTCTCTCTCTCTCTCTCTCTCTCTCTCTCTCTCTCTCACACACACACACACACACACACACACACACACACACACACACACACACACACACACACAGACCCAAATGAGCACTTTGACACTTGTGATTTAGTCTACTATACTATGAGAAGATGGATGATCACTCTGGGGGTGAGAGAGGTCTCCTATGCTCAAGCTATGCCCAGTAACACAGTTCACTTTCTGTTGCCTGCAGATCATGTCCATATGCATGCCTCCATGGACTAAACTTCTGAAACTATAAATCACCCAATTAAAAATTTTCTTTATAAGAGTTGCCATGGTCGGGGGCTGGAGAGATGGCTCAGAGGTTAAGAGCACTAGCTGCTCTTCCAGAGGTCCTGAGTTCAATTCCCAGCAACCACATGGTGGTTCACAACCATCTTTAATGCAAAATGCTGCCCTCTTCTGGCCTGGGCAGAACACTGTACACATAATAAATAAATAAATTAAAAAAAAATGCCATGGTCATTTTGTCTCTTCACAGAAACAGAAACCCTAAGATACATGTTGCCCTACTTTAATCAACATTGGTAGATCTTTTCATGTGACAAAGTAAAATGGTCACTGAGTCTCCCAGGATTCAATGTTTATGAATTCATCTCTTATAAAGACTTACTTATTGTGGTCTCAAACACACTATGTGTAAAGACAACCTTATCACACCTCCTGAGTAGTGGGTTACAGGTTGTGTGTGTGTGTGTGTGTGTGTGTGTGTGTGTGTGTGTGTGGTGTTATTGTTGGGGACCAAACCCACAGCGTCTTGGATTCTATGCAGACACTAACACCAACTGAGCTACATCTTAAATATTATACATACACTCTGTTAAGGGTTAGCTATACAGAAGTGAGTCTAACACAATAACTGCTTATATTTTACTACGCACCAACCCAGGTACTCCAGGTACTGCAGCTGTGATAACCAGTTGTAATTTTATGTTCTTCTATCAATCTAATTGGAAAAGGAAAGGCCTTGTTCAACTATTTATAGATTAATTTTCTCCTTTCTTTTTACTCCAAGCTCTGGCAATTAGGAAATACCTGAAACCTCCCCCACCCCCGTTTTGTTGAGGTGTAAAAATGAAATTCTTGTGAGGCAATAAGGCTAGGAAGACAGTTGATTCCAGGAGCATGCCTTCAAACAGAAAATATTCCATATACAACATCCGTTTAAATTAGGACAGGCATTTATTGTGCAGAATCAAATTCATTATATATAGCCACACCAGTGAAACACAATGACTAAAAACAATAATTAGCTAACTGTAATTCTTGTACAGTCAAATACTGGTGAAATCTGGTATTTTTTGTAGAAATTTTTCAGAATTCAAATTTGATAATTTCATTTATTGGTAGTTGCTAAAAGCCGAGTAAAACCTATCAGGTAAACAAGTCAAACAGAGAATTACTTTACTTACAGAAAATGAAGACAATGCCAAATGTATTTCTAAGTTTCCGAACACTAATCTTTACTATCTATTCCCTCAAATTAGGTTTGTAAAAGTCATTTACACAAGAGACCAATAAATTGTTTTATTTCCTCAAGAAAAAATTTTAAGTCCTGTGACTGAAACCATGGCTAAAAGTGAAGCATATTCCTAACTGCTAGATTTACACTAACTGATCGTTAGTCATCCAAGAAAAATGTGGCTAAGACACAGAAAAGTAATAAGTGCCCCTAAAATAAAAAAAAGAATAACAAAATACAGAAAAGTAGCATTATATTTCACCTAATACAGAGAAAAGAAAAAAATGCTGCCTACAAGACAGTGTTAAGAGCTAAAGTACTCCATTACATTCAAAACTGGGACCCAAAAGATCCAAACTGTACAGACCCTGACAAATCTCACAACAGTTCCCTGAAGCCATTTAAGGCTGACATTGAGTGTGTGTGTGTGTGTGTGTGTGTGTGTGTGTGTGTGTGTGTCTTATGACCAATGGTAAAACAAATTTTAAAATGTATTTAAACTAGATGCGGATTTTCCTTTAAATGTAGTTTTGAAAAACATTGTATTTTATACTTATATTTACTGACACATAAACTTAATATATTTCTTTAAATGTAATTAAGTTTCTTAAATGAAAATACTTCACTAGAGGCTAAAGAGATGACTCAGTGGTTAAGAGTTCATACTGCTCTTCAAGAAGATCCAAGTTCAGTTCCCAGCAGGTTCTGGGAACTTGGGCAGCACACACCACCTGTAACTCCATCTCTAAGTGATCCAAAATTTTTGGCCTCTATTATGGGCACCTGTACTCATGTGCACATATTCACACATAGCCACATGTACACATAAAGTAATAAAAATACATTTTTCTAAGAAACATTTTTTTTTAATGTGTATGTGTTTTGCCTATGTGTACCACTTATGTGCCTGGTGCCTGTGGTGGCCAGAAGTGGGCATTAGATTCCTTGGAACTAGAGTTACAGACCATTGTGAACTACTGCGTGTGCTAGGTCCTCTGCAAGAGCAGCAATGCCCTTAACTGCTGAGCCATCTCTCAGCCTTAGTAACAGGACGCCCCCCCTTAAAGAAAAGAAAATACTAAAGAATCAATGACAGTAAGAGATTCTGTCTCAAAACATAAGGAGAACTGAAACCAAGGAACCTCTCTGGTCTCCATAAGTGTGTGTGTGTGTGTGTGTGTGTGTGTGCGCGTGCGTGCGCGCGCGCGCGAGCGCGCACACACACACACACACACACACACACACACACACACATACAAATACAATAGGATTCATGTACAGCAAATATTTTTCAGTGAACATATACAGACTTAATTCTTTAAATCAAAACTGTATAGTTTAAGACACTATAAAGCTAAGGACATATAATTGTGACAGGAAGTATGCAAGAGGGCATAACAACAGAACATCTGAATATCATAAAAAGTTGTCTCACTGATGAAAGGCTGGAGAGATGGCTCAACAATTTAGATCACTTGCTGCTCTTTAGGACCCAAGTTCAATTCTCAGCATCACATTGGGTGGCTCACAACCACTTGTAACTCCAGGTTAGTCAACCCCCTCTTCTGGCCTCTGTGGGAATTCACACATATGTGATATGCATAAGTAAAAATAAAATTAATCTTAAAAAAGAAAAACCTTTAAACTGGGCTTGGTAGCTCATACCTTTAATCCCAGCACTAGGGAGGCAGAGGCAGTTGGATCTCTGTGAGTTCAAGGTCAGCCAGGTCTATAGAGTGAGTTCCAGGATAGCCAAAGCTGTTTCACAGAGAAACCATGTCTCAAAAACAAAACAAAGTAAACAAACTTTAAAACCAAATATACTGTAACTATTCAAAATACAACAGCTTTTTATAAGGCTAAGAAGGTAGATGATGGTTAAAAACAAAAATCTTGAAATTGAACTTTCCAGTTACCAAAACTGAATATTGCTAGTGTTCATAAAAAGCAAAAACAAACAAAAACAAACAAAACAAAACAAAACAAAAACACAACACCTCAGGCTGGAGAGATGGCTCAGAGGTTAAGAACACTGACTCTTCTTCCAGAGGACTTGAGTACAATTCCCAGCCACCACATGGTGGCTCACAACCACCTTGAATGAGATCTGATGCCCTCTGCTGGCATGCAGGCAGAAGACTGTATACATAGTAAATAAATAAAATCTTAAAAACAAAACAAAACAAAAAAAAAACCTCATACTGAAAATGACTGTGGTTACTAATTCTTCACCCTGAAAAAAATTAAATATACATACAAATTTTCCTAAGTGATCTACATATTATATAGCCAAATATCCCTAATTGAGGAATTCTTCCTTATGGAAGGATTCATAATAAATGTAGAAAGCTAAAAATTACAACCTGAAACAAGTAAATTTAGCTAATATTCATTAGTACATGAAACCATTACATAAAGAGCTGATTTTTGAAAAGGACAGATTAGCCTCTGAATCCTCTGGTCCTTTTTGACTAGTACCACTAAAATTAGGACTAGACTTACTGCAATATGAGGAACAGACTAAGTGCTCAGCCTTGATAAACAGAACATTTAGAAATCTATAAAGAAAAAATTAAAAGTAACTAAGGGGAAGGTTCAGTGGATGGTGACTGCCATACAAGCATCAAGACTGCAGTTTGGATCCCTAACACCCAGGAAAAACTGAGCAAGCATAGTAGCCAACTGTAATCTCAGCACTCAGAAGGCAGGCAATCCATGGGACAAGGCAGTCAGCTACCCAACAGCCTCAAGAAATAAAATGGAGCATGACCAAGGAAGACATGTGAAATTAGCTTCGTGGCTGACCTTCACATGTGTTCACCCACACAGATGTAAAAATATACACCACACAGTAAAACAAAGCATGAAGGCTATCTTTGAAACTTGAGGCGTTAAAGAATTTATTTTAAAAGACACCAAAAGGGGATGCCCCTTCATCAGTGCAACACAGTTGGGGGACTTGGAAGAAGAAGGATCCTATTTTAGCTTATCTGAGTACAGACCTAGAAACTTTAGATGCTGGAAGCATTCCCTGTGCAGCAGTCGATACTATACAGCTCACTAGAGTCTGCGGCTGCACTTAGAGCTTTCCTGTTAACTATCAGAATTAGAAGATCATGTGGTGTGAGGTAGGAGAATTTCTTGTGGTAACTTTAAGATTCTGGTTTCACTTTAGGTTAGTTGAATAAATCAAAGAATCCAAAGAGAATTAAAAGATTTTATATGAAATTACTCATCTTGCCCAACTCGTCCCTAGCCACCTGCGGCAGCAAGAGAGTTGGCCCTGCTCCTCACCATCTGCAGCACCTGGGAAAGCAGGCTCTGCACCTCACCTGGACCATACAGGAGAGCTGCCCCTGGCTTCTTACTGCACATGGTTGGGGAGGAGGGCAGGTGATGGAGCGTTTGCCCTGGTGGTGAGGATGATAGAGAGCCAGTGGGCTGACCAACTCAGCAACCACCCAGGCCCAGAGGCGGAGCTATGAGTTGGCCCATCCCATCATCCGCCCCATTTTTGATCTGCTAGAGCACATGAAGGGGTCTGTCCCTCCATGACACAGGACAACAGATATCCAGTGAGGGCTAGTGTAGCAGAAACCAGAGGCCTGGAACCATACTCTGCAATGAACACTTCCAAGTAAAATGTATGAATCAAAGGGTTTACTGTGTGACTCATTGTGTCACACTACAGTATCCATGATGAGACTTTTCTTCTCTCCCCCCCCCCTTTTAAATTTTATTTGTTTTATCTTAGGGAGGAGGTTGCAAGGGCAGAGGGGTGGACACGAAGGGATAGGGAGATGAGTGGGATCGAGATGCAGGATATGAAATCCACAAACATCAATAAAAAGTTAATAAAGAAAAAAAGAAATCTTGATTCTGAAGCAAACCAAGAGCACCAACAACAACTGAGCAAATGTGAACATACAAAACATACAAGTCAGTGAATAATATTGGAGACCAACCACAAAAGATACTGCACAAGAAAACGCCCAGCCAAGTAATTAAAGTGCAATCCGCTTTAAAAGAGATCCGAATGGGAAGCCAATAAATAAGACAAAAAATTTTTAAATAATAAAATAGGGAAAACCCTGTTTTAAAGCTGGGAGTGAAGGTAAGAGGGCTGCTATAAGTTCAAGCCCAGCTGCTGCTATATGATGATGTTGGGCTATGAGTGAAACCATCTTTAAAAAACACATGCATTTAAAAAACACGTGCGCCAGGCATTGATGGCGCACGCCTTTAATCCCAGCACTTGGCAGGCAGAGGCAGGCGGATCTCTGTGAGTTCGAGACCTGCCTGATTTACAAGAGCTAGTTCCAGGTCAGCCTCCAAAGCCAAAGAGAAACCCTGTCTCAAAACCCCCCCCCCTTTAAAAAAAAAAAAAAAAAAAAATCTACATACAGGGGCTGGAGAAATAACTCAGCAATTAAAAGCACTTGCTGCTCTTACAGAGGACCCAGCAACCACATGGACTCACAACCAATATAACTCTAGTTCTAGGGGATCTGACACCCTCTTCTGACCTCAGTGAACACCAGGCATGCACATGGTACATAGACATACATGCAGGCAAGATACCCACAGACATAAAATAAAGAAGTGATAATAATAATTTTAAAATGTTAGTTCATCTTGAGAATGGTGTTTTGTGCTTGCAAATCTCAACACTCAGGAAGCTAAAGCATGAGGACTGCCAAGAGTCCCAGGCCAGCCTGGGCTATATGAGAACTTGTCTCAAATATAAAATAAATGACTTTTTAATCTGTGTTTGGCACAGATATTAATTTCATTATTCTTTAAACCAACCTGGTAAGTTATATTCACTGTTTATATGATAGACTTCAAAACTTTAAGAAATTTAGAGAGGGGTAAGAGAGATGATTTGAAGCACTTATTGCCCTTGCAGAGGGTCCAGGTTCAGTTCCCAAAACCCTTAACTCCAGTTCCAGGAGATCTGGTGCCATCTTCTGGCTTATGCAGGAAAAAAATGCATAAAACAAATAAATCCTTTTTTAAAAATCAAGAGAGTACCAGCAAAATGTGGTAGCACACGTGTATAATCCAAATATTTGGGAGGTGGAGGTTGAAGGATCAGGTATTCAGGGTCAATCAACCTGGGCTATATTCTGTCTTAAAAATTAAAAACAAAAAAGAGGCGTGTGGGATGCCTCAGCAGGTGTCTTATTTAGAGTTTTACTAAATAAGTAAATGTGAAGGGACACCATGACCACAGCAAATCTTAAACATTTTTCTTTATGACATTTAATTGGGGCTGGCTTCCAGTTCAGACGTTTAGTCCATTATTATCTTTGCAGGAAGCATGGTGGCCTGCAGGCAGCTGCTGCAGCAGTAGCTGAGAGGTCTACATCTGAATCCACAGGCAGCAGGAAGAGACTGAGACACGCTGGCCAGGCTTGAGCTTCTGAGACCTCAAAGCCCACCCCCTAATGACACACCTCCTCCTACAAGGTAACACATCCTAATAGTGCTACTCCCTATGGGACTATTGGGGCCATTTTTATTGCAGTTGCAGTAGGATCTGGAATTCAAGGCCAGCCCCAGCTATATAGTGAGACCCCGTCTTTAAAATATTAATATAATATAGAGTGGAAGGTCTGAGGCTGGAGTGAATCAACACTCTTTACCTCCATGGTACTTTGATCAGCACTAGATTAGTTTTCTAGTCCTAGCAAAGGCTCAACAGCAAGCAGGAGGTTTACATGAGAATGAGACCTGCCCTTACTCTTATGGGCAGGGTTTGGAGGTATAGATAGGTAGATCTGAGTTCAAGGCCAGCCTGGTTTACATATTGAGCCCCTGTCTCAAACAAACAACATCTGTATTGGTAAGATGGCACGGTGTTTGCTACTTACCCCTTTTCAGAACCTCAGGAGCAGCTTTTGAACACAGTCAAAGCTCTGTGTCAGACGCCAAACCTGACAGGCTGAAGGTGTGGCTAACCTTAGGCACCACGGTTTTCCTGTGGGTTTATCTCAACAACATAAGGAAGATGTTTTGAAGTACAAAGGAAGAAATGGATTGGAATAAACTTTGTTAATACAGTCTACTCTATGTAATGATCATGGTCGTTCCTCTGGATTCACCCATCTATTGAGTTGTGAATGTGAGAGAAAAGTATATTATGTGTGAATATGTATCAGTCAAGTCAGCCTGTGCATTTTGCATCATTAAATTAAATAAAAATACTTTTTTAAAATAGAGACAGTCTTTCTACACAGCCCGTCTGTGTATTTGAAATGTAAATTATATTTATTACTGTGTGTGTGTGTGTGTGTGTGTGTGTGTGTGTGTGTGTGTGTGATGTGGGTTGGGGTGTGTTAAAGAATGCTGTTATTTCATGTGGGTATTACTACACCCAGCTACACCATTACTTTTTAGAGTCACATCAACCAAAAAAAATATATTACATTTTATTTATTTTGTGTGCACACAT